GAACCGTATCTACCCCCTATTCTAGGGCCAGGAAATTCACCCAGAATTTCACTATTTAAAACTTTACTAACCGTGAACTCCCGAGAATTAATCGAGCTCCACATCACAGTGGGTACGGTCGACAGAAAATACTTATTGACACGAGTGTTATCGTGTCGATGGTACCTCGTTTACTCCGGAATGCGCCGACGAGTTGAAAGTTAGGGTGAATGGAAGAGCGTCGAAATTGTTAATTCACGGATAGGAATATCGAGGAAATACGTCAATCTCGCTTGCACCCATGCACCCGTTGGCGAGTAAAAAGGGACCCTCGGAGCCCCCAAAAAGATCAGTCGCTAATTACCCCTCCGAGTACCCACTGCGGATACCAAGTCTCCCTCTCCTTCCCCACCCCTTTTCCTTCCCTCTCTCGCTTTTCCCCCTCTGTCCTCCTCCCCCTCCCTCTCTCTCTCTCTATCTCTCCCTCGCTCGCACTCACGTTTTTTCCCTGGGTTTAGAAACCATAAAGAACAATGCAATCATTTGGAAGCACGCGGAAAATATGAGTGAAATGATCCCGAAGTAACGGCACTTGTACGGATCGGTTCGGTAACTGCGCCGTTTCGCGTATATATATGTCGACCAATGAAAACGATAACGGCGTGGCAATGTAGTGCACCGCTGAGAGTTCGCTTCTATTTTTTCTTTTTTTTTTTTCGAAATTGCCTTTCTGATTTATCCTCGTGTCGGGACCATTCCGTCGTTCAACCCCCGTGCCTCCATTTACATATAGATATCCCCGCAACGAGCTTAATTGTGGCAGATATAGCGCTACATGCTTATGCGTTCAGATTGGCTTACACGATCAACTATTCCGCTGAAATGATTTCTGTCATTTTATAAATAACGTTTTAATCGACAAATTTCAATAAAAAATGGTGGTGTTTAGGATAGAATTAAAATTTTTTTTTCCACGCAATCTACGGAACATACGTAAACGAACGAAAAATATATGTACGAAAATGTGCTCCATTCTATATAAGTAGGTAGGTTACGTTAGGTTTTAGACCCGATTTAAGGGCCTGCTCTCTCGGAACGCCCCGAGCCCCACGCCGAGGCTGACGGATCCCGAGTGGCCCGCGGCTGGGCGGGACCGGGATCGATGGAGGTCGCGCCTCCCGGCCCCCAGTGAGCGCGGCCGTGCGTGCCGCCTCGCCCGCGATTACCGCGGCCCCGACGTGGTCCCAGGTGGTCTCGGGCGTACTCAAAAGAAAACCCCTAAACAGGGGGCCCCCGGGCCCAAAGCCAGGAGGCGCCGCCCGCTGCCTCGAGGTGGGTCAAGTGGCGGTCCACTGTGTAAGGACCGGCCCGATGTTGAAGTTGCGATGACACCGGCCACGTGGTCGCCACGTGGTCGCCGCGGGTCCGACGGAAGGGGCCAAGTACCTCCTCTGCTTCGGCCCCGCGACCAACCGAGCATCGTATGGGCCCGGAGGGGTAAGAGGGCCTGGCCCGCGGCGCCGACGCCCCAACCGTGCATGAATGCGTGGCTGCAGAACCCACAAATATCACCTAATCTAACGAGTCGTTTGGATCGACAAAATGACAGTCCTGGTTGCTCGTTTCCTAATTTAAAACTAGAGAATCTGGTGGATCAGGGGAATCGATCATTTGTGACCTTCTGGGTGTTACGCTGCATGATCTAAAAAGGGGGCCCACGTGGGAGAAACCGTTCGATTCTCCTCGGAAATCGAAGACTAACTTAATCTAATCATCGGCGACTCCCGGCTTTAATTAAAGCTTTATTATCTCTTTAGGAGTTGTTATTAGACGATTATTCCGGTGGAAGGGAAGTCTACTTAGAGCGGCACTTCGTGCGTTGCACGAAGTGGGTACTTAAGAGGAGAGGTGCCTGAGTTAGCTCCGTTGTCAAAGAACTCTCCACGTTGGCGGTTTTATTCTAAAACCGCTAAGACGGTTGCTTAACCGTTGCTGAACTTGAAATTGGTGACTCTTTTTAAGAGCCTCGATCCTCCCCGCGGGCCTTAGAAAAGAACTTCGTATCCCCGTTGTTTCCCGTGAAAGATCGAACGGCGAATGTCTACAAAGTCGTTTTCTCGAAACTCGAACGTCCCAAAGGTGAACATACTTTAAAAACCTTACGCGATTTAGACTCATTTCGCCACGCGAAGTAAACTTAAGTTCCACCTTTACCGTACCAATTGCCATTTCGTCTAACGTACAAAGTTTTGCTAACGGTTGCCGCAAGACGGAACTTCGCCGGGAGTCTGGTCAAGATACCTATACGGTAATTGTTTTGGAAACGGTATCGACACGGGAATGCTTAATCGTTCACTCGGAAAAGTGATGTAAAAATGATTTGCTACCCAACAACATTTTACAACGTTTACGGTCACGCTTCGATTCGACGATGACCCAGGCACCGCGCGAAGTGGAATATCTGTATATTACCCGTTTGCGAAACGGATCGGATTCCCTGTGCACCCGTCGTGGTGGCGGTGCATCAACATCCCGACGTTCTCGTATCATCTTGTAAACGCGATTAAATTATACTTTTAAAACTCCCCTGGCAGCTTTGGATTACGCCCCCGTTTTCGAGCACAATTGGGATGCGTCTACTGTGGTGTCGGGGTCGTCGACGGAATCGACGACGCTCAGCAGTAGGCGTTCGATTTAAAAGTAATTATGGTCTTCTTATTTATGTGACGCAGGTATCGGCTTTGGGTGCCACTATTTCAAACGGACTTAAGGCGAGCAATTAACGGATAAGATCTGTCGCCACTTTTCTGCCTGTGAACCCCCACAACTGTGGAGTTACTTAGAGGGGTGTAATTTATACAACATTAAGCAGCCACATTTATCACGCGCCCTTTCCTAGTCCTTTTCCTCTCTCGTGCCCCCTTGCTTTTTCATAGGTTTTTATCCGCTCTCCTTTCTTCTCCGAATGATTTCGCCCAGCTTCGCTGCATACCCGTAGCAACGATGCCGTTCGATGTTCTAGCTTGTTTAAAACCAGGCACACATCTGGTTTTTGAGGCGGTTCCGGAGGTGTCACTCCCGGGAAACGTCGGGCAAAACTAGAGGCCACTAAATATCGGTTAGAAGCAAACTCTACTGCGTTCAAATATTCATATCAGGGCGGCGCAGGAGTGGAACTTACGACACTCTGACTGTGTCCAATCTTCGGTGAACGCAATCTGCAAGAAATTCTATGAATTTCGAATGCATTGAGGTAGACGTCGAAGATCACGTCCGTAACGACAACGACATTCGGAGATGAGTGGTTCCTTATTCAAAAATCTACTATTCTAGAGTCAATGGAACAAACATCCTCGTGATTGTTCTTACACGATTCGTAAAGTTCGTAATGGTATTATGGGCGAATGATTCGCCTTTGTCGGATCAGGGACATTACGGAAACGGTAAAAGCTCGAATATCTTCAGGATCTCGAGCAATGTAGGAAACTCTGCTGGATAACGCCCAGTCATTTTACGTTCCAAGAGCGATTCGTCGGCCGGTGTTCACCGTGTGCGGAAAATTACAAGCCGTAAAGAATTCTATTCGCATTAACTTTCCCCATAAACCATGAATTCCGCGTGAAAGCCGACAAGAGCAGGCGTGCCGCGACACGAACGGCCTTATATCACCGGAAACCGAGCTGTCACTGCCTCTCCGGACCACTAACTCAGTCCTCCGCTTCTGCCGACGCACCACTACTTCTCGACGCTTTATCCCTGAACCATAATTTTCAATCTAACTGGATTCGATTTTGCATCTTTACAAAAAAAAAAAAGAATACCGAGACCTGCCTTTACCGGGTGCAATCGTTTCGACTCCTGCAATTGCAACGAAGTTAACTACCGACCACGTGTCATTTTAAAAATGATTTCTTAGGTGAAATCGGAGCCAGGAGTTATCTGAAAGAGGGTTGACCAGGAGAATGACTGGAAAGAAAATCCCCGTCGATGGGACTAACTTTCTCCATAAAGCACGAGTTGTACGAGAGAGAACCGATAGCCGTGAGCGGGCAAGCGGGTAGGAGTAGCAAGGAGCAGGGTAACGACGCGAATGTCTCTATATCACCGAAAACTGTCTGTCCTTGCCCCTTCCGAGCCACCGTCTCACCTCGCCTTTACGCCCCCAGACATACATGCTACGTAGGTGGCGTTACGGAAATTCGCAAAGTGTCCGCATAAATCGCGGCAACTGGGTCGTGAAAACAGCCAAGCTCCGCACCCCCTGCCGTCCGCGCTCCAGCAGGAACCCCTCGGCCGGTAAATAGCGGGCGAAGTTGCATGATATGTGGCGGCGCGGATGCGCGAAACTGCATCACAGCTAAGGTATGGCAACTCGACGAACACACATCCAGAATCATCTAGAGAAACCATCCTACCGGATACACTTTAGCTCTGGTTAGCGAACCATCCTCCTACTTTTCCCTCCGAGGCTCAAACGCGCAAGGCGCGTTTCGCTCATCATTAGACCCTACGAGTTTCTTGATAAACGAAATAAGAGTAATCTATAATTGCCACCTACAGGCCCGACGTTACTCTAACGTCACAAATTTCTTTCGGAATATAAAAGAATAGCGTACCGCTGCAAAAAATAATATTTTTCAAGGGGTATACCTAATATTCATGAAATGTACCAATAATTCAAGGGCGTACGTCTATCTAGTTATCCGCAATAAATATTTGGCTCCAATTAACGAACACTATATGGTTGTCCTGTTACAGTATTATAGTGCATTGACGAAAATATCCCCAATGGGCTTCCCCGTATCATCCGAACACACATAGAGGAGGGAGCAATCGGCATTCCACGCTCAATTCTCGCATCTGCGGTAGTTATCAGCCGCAGATGGAGTCGTGTACTTTAAGTAAACGCAGGAATCCAAACATTTTTATAATTACAACATCACGCGATGGACACATTTGACTGAAATAACCGGACAAGATGCGCAAACGTGCTAAATGTTTTTGTCAAATATAAATCTTACCTTGGATTTCCTCGAAGAGCAGCATGGTGGAGCGCGTTGAAGCCATTGTTATTTGTGAGGGTGATATCTGCCGCATGGTCTAACAATAAAGCCAACATGTCGTCTCGTTTCTTCGATATGGCATCATGTAGAGCGGTATCACCTACCGAGTCCTGTTAAAGGGAATGTTTCAAAATAAAATACTAAACGATCCGAGAAATAATTGCGTTTTCTCTATCTGAATTTCAAAATTAATACAATTTGCAACCACTCAAGATGGACTAGATTCTGATATTTAAAATATTTCATCCCATTATTCAAATATTAATTCTGAAATTTTAATTCATAAACATGTATTTGACTTACTTGCAAACAGGGATGACAGCCCAACTCCAGTAACGTTCGCACAACACCTGCATGGCCTTTATTAACGGCAATGTGGAGGGCTGTTTGGCGTTTTTTATTTCTAGCATTAAGATCAGCTCCAGCTCGTGCTAGAAGAGCCATAACACTGGGCTCGTCGCCAAATGCAGCATGATGGACAGCTCTATCGCCATCTTTGTCCTATATAAAAAATCAAGTCATGTATTCTTGTTCATGAAAAATGTGGGATAAAAGTTTTAAAGACCCATTGATTTTCAGGTATCGTCATACAAATTTCATCTAATTTCTTTCTCATGACCTCGGCTAATCTATCATCTAGCCATGAAGTATAAATACTTTTTACTTATTATATCTGGTTTCAACATTTCGATAGTCATAAGCCACGAGTGATTTCAATTCTACACAGTGTCTGGACACGAGCAACCAACATTGAATAACTTTAACGTTATTTGTACAAATATTGGAATTTTCATAAGTAGAACTGTCACCTCAATTTCGACATCTGCTTTGTAGCGGAGAAGAATCTTTATAACTTCTAGGCGTCCGTTTTGACTTGCAGCTTGCAAAGCTGTATGGCCGGCAAAGACACCATTGATGTCAACTTCTGGCCGTTTTAAGCATTCCTCACATTTTGCGGCATCACCATTCGCAGCTGTTTTAACAAGTTCCTCATTGACATCTCCAGAAACATGAGTCTCAAACAACTTTTTCAATAAAGCAGACAAACGTTCTGAAAAACACAAAAGATATTTAACGACTGCATAATTTACACAAATCCTAGGGCGAAGAGTAATATTTATCCTGCCAACATACCCCCACTGCTGTTTCCGGGCACGCTACCGTCGCTGCTGGCAACTTTTGTAACGGCTTGAGGGTTATATGTCCAAGAAGTACTGCACACTTCAACTTTCAGATCACCATCATGATATGTTTGCTGCACCCTTCCAATTTTCCCTAATGTCTACCGAGAAATACATCAATTTAATGATATTTTATCGAAATGGATACCAGTGATATTTTTCTTGAAATTCTTACAGTTAATGGATTATTATTTATGTTATAAACAGCTATTTCTACTTACAGGTGCCATAGCTTCAGCCCATTCTCCATGTCCCCGCTGCAATAATTTGATCTTTTCTAAATCGCTGCAGATTTGTACTAGATCTCCAACAGCAAACGTTTGACTGTCAGAACTCGAGGTGGTAACTGGTACTGGTAATTGAACTTTAGTAAGCACAGCAGGATTGAATGTCCATCGATTACCACTTGGATAAGATACTACAATATCATGATCTTCGTCAATACCAACAACGGTACCGGTAGTACCAAGGCATTCAAACATTCCATCCGTCCAACCCCCATGACAATGCTGAAGAGACTGAACAATTTCCAATTCTAAATCAACGTTAACCTGCAAATAATACGAGAGATATTAATCACTTTTTAATCATTTCTTATCAACGGGAAAACCTAAATCGTTATTAACAGATTGATCAAAGTAACTAAATAATTGCACGCGGATACCTGATCACCAATCTGCAAACCATGAGGACCCGTTCTTCCAGGACCTTGTTCACCAAGCAATGGTAAATGATCTCTATATACCGTTTGGCCTTTCGCATCATTTACGACCTTAAGATCTGCCTAAAAATGAACAGCAACCAGGAAGAAAATTATGAACAAACTACGTTTCTTTTATGTCACGGAACGAACAGTTCCGTAACCTTTTTAGTCACTATTTTGTCAAGAAGCTTTTTATATGCAGTTAGGTAGTAACTCTCAGGGCCTTAAGGGGTAACGTCATCTTGAGGGTGGGAAAAAAATACATTTCTTATTTTTGCTTAAATCATTAGCTTGTGGTATTAAAAATATGGCGCACGTCGTTTTGGAGCGAAGTATAATTTGCATTAATATTAGAGCCGATCGAATGAAGCGCCTATCTGCGCGGAACTACAAGTCCTGCTCTCATGTATAAAGTACACTAGTTTAAGTCAAATTATTCATTTAGCAACGGTACCACCCAAAACTTAGACATTTTAGAGCTCATAAGGTGACGTTATCCCTTAATATACACCAAATTTACTAACTTAGTTTTGGTTTTCGTTAACAGACGATATTATCTATGACGGTACATTTTGCAATGGGATTCTATCGCACCCATAGCATCGATAATTATATTACGTTTACCCTCCACAAAGCGCGGTTGGAGCGAGACCCAAAACCATCTCGCGTTTAGACTAACGATAAAATAAACATAAACTGTAAAGGGGGATCGGAGGATAACGTGTCGATACCGTCAAATCAATCGGATAACATAACTAAGCTTAAGCGCCCCCCCAAATTCTACATATCCTAGAAATAATAAAAAGTTCAATTAACCAATGTGCTGTAATATTTTATTTTAACTACCAATTAATAAAAAACATTTTTAGTATTACATTTTTCAACTTTTAATAATTATTTGTTATGTGAACTGTTTCTTCCAATACGGCTGCTTCCTTTGCCTTCTCTGCGGTCCGAGGGAGCAGAGATTCCTCTGACTTTTCCGTTTACCCGATGCTGCCCTTGTCAGTGGTGTTACAGCCACCGACTTTGTCCTGCTTCCTGTTTTCGGCTACGTTGAGGGGCTGCAGAACATTAAAAATATATATCTCAATAATCAATTTTGCATATTTTATTGCGGAATTATTATACATGCCGTTTTCATTTGATGTGCCGACGAGGCCCTGGGGTAGGTCGCGTACAATTTTCATTTGTTTCTCCTGGGATAGATTTTTCTTCTCACTAAAATCCTGATTTGAGTTTACAGGTTTGACACGATTTTTGTCATCGACGGTCTGATCAGGAGAGAACCATTCAGCAATAGTAAATGCATTTACGAGCGAGAAAACTATGCTACTAAAAAAAGAAAATAGAAAAGTCCAAATGCATCAATATTATCAAAAAACAAAGGATCATAATCGAGATTTAAGAAGAAAAGCATATCGTGACAACATTCTTGAAAATCGCTTTAAGAAACGAGTTAAATATGGAAGTCATCGCGAACATGAACTAGCACATAAGAAAGAAAGTTTAATAAAGAAATTAACATGTAGGGCTCTCAGCTGGGTCCTATGCGAACGTTTTCGTTTTATTAATGATGGAGTGGTATGGCATCTATCGATAATAAAAGGTAACGAGATTGCTCCTTTAACCATGGGTTCACCCAGGTCCGATTAAAAAACTCAAACCTAGTCATTATCTACGATGTTTAGCCTAGCGCGTCAAACTGGACAAAGATTGGTACATTTAATATAGAGATAGGCAATTTCAAATATTTCACTTCGCTTGGGTTGCTTGAAATTTTTCCGTCGACCGCTTTCGGCGGCACCGCAGCGATGCCATCCAAACAATAGGCGATGGCCACGTAGCAGGGTCTTTTCAAATATCCATGTAAGGAGCTCTGGCTCTTGCTCTCGTCTTCTCGCCCTCTTGCATCGTTCCTCGCTCTTTCTCGCCCTTCCTCGACCTTCTTCACCCACTCTCACCCTCTTTGGCTCTCTCTCGCCCTTCCTCTTCCCAGCTCGCCTTCACACCATTTTGTCGTCCTTTCTCACCTTCTCTTGTCCTCCCTCACCCTCTCTCGTTCTCTTCCGTACTCTCCTGTTCCCCCTCGCCCATTCCTGCCCTCTCTCATCCTCCTTTGCTGCCTCTCGCCCACCCTCGTCCTCCCAGCCCACTCTTACCGGTCTCATCCACACAACTCCACACCCCCGCCTACACTCGTACCCACCCATCCACCCACTCTCATCCACGGCAGCACATAGCACAGCGTAGCAGCAGCAATGGCTGTGGCGGCAATCGCGGCGGTCGCGACGGCGATAGTCGCGGCGGCCAAATACAAGAATAAGTCGAATCGTTATATACATATTGTTAATACAAATAGGCCTCCTAAGGCAGCGATGTGTATTTAGGGGCGGTACACGCGACCAAAAGCCAACCGAAGCACTTCCTCGTGGTATACTAGTACTAAATTTAATTTATTCCTCGACTCAGCGAATTTTTTAGTTCACGAGGAATATGTAATCTGTTTCCATTCTTCAGGATTATAATATACATAAATAAACTTACACGATCATTGGTACAATATAAGAACAGCATATATGTCTTTGTTTTCTATGTTACTAACCATTCCTTCAAATCCAACTCGATACAAATTTTTAGCCCCATTGTCCCATATGACATAAGCAGCTGAACGAGGACTTGCAGCTGACCAATCTTGCACTTCGTTTACTTTCCCTCTTCGACCATTGCCACCATCTTGATCCTCCCATTGCCAGTCGACACCACGAACCACTCTTGCACCAGGAAATATCCCTCTAATCGCAATCTGTGAAGAAAATATATTACATATGAAATTAAATTCAACTCATTGTCTTATTTATTAGAGAACCTATAACCAACTTATACAAGTACAACTTTCAAAAGAAACTGTGCATTTATGATTATATTAAAGACATTACATTTAGTATCACAGATAAATACCTTTTTACTTTTTCGTCTCGGCTCCAATAACACTCGTTCACTCCCAAGAGTAGCGATACGATAAAATCTATGCCTTAAATGATGCTTATCTCCATGGTAGCATATTGAACACAGATCATAATTTCCACATTCCGCACATTTCCAACGAATGCCGAAAATGGGTTGCTGACGACATGTATCGCACATCGTTCCGTCATGTTTAACACCAGTTGGAGCAGAATCTAATATTCTTAAATCAAATGCACCCGAGCAACGGTAATTGGCTGCTGTACCGTTATCCCAAACAACCACGACTTCTTCAGGTGACTCAAAATTTCGAACCGTTCCTACATGCCCTTCCCCTCCATCCTAAGAAGTCAAAAAATAATGGCATCGTCAAATATATAAATGCGCATCATAAATTTTAAACGTTAATACATTATATATATGTCAATACTATTTTTTTTTATAAAATAAGTCAATGACACAGATCAACAAGTCAATGATTGTTCACAGACCAGTAAAACTATGCAATGTCACATATTAATTCAAAAAGGCACTCACATTAATAACAATACATTAACATTATTAACGATAAAAACGTTAAAAAGTACAAAATGTAGCAACATTGCGATACTACATTAAAAAATTCTAATATATATGGGAAACAAACCTAAAATAAAGATAAAAGCTGTTACATCATGAGAGAATATCGAATGAATCAGCAATGACCAAGCCCCAAGGACATATGTATAACTTACAAATTACAAATTGATACATAATATTTGTGAACATCTAGTTAACCTAAATCCTAACCTGTTTGCCCCACTTCCACTCCGGCCCTCGAATAACTCTAGCACCAACACCCTCCATCATAAACCGTGTTGTACGAGTTCCCGAACTTGTTCCAGCCTCCATAATTTACTGACAACAAACTATTCACGGATACATAATAATTAAACAAATTTAAACCGCCGATCGCGCACAAAAACAAAAAGAGCCATCTTTACATACTGTTACCGATGAATTCCGACATCTCCTAGATACCCAACGCTTGGTTAAAATGTATGGTTTCCAAAATAGTTCTGTTCAGTAGCGCCTAGTAGCGCCACCGTCCGCAAAAATAATGAGAGGTTTCAATTAGATATAGAGAACATGGATGTAAGAATACATTCAAGCACAGAGATAGTGAGCGGTTCATATATTATGTGCAGAGTCGACAGTAAAGCCGCTTTTTTTAACGTTCGCTACGCTGAAAGCCATTGCGAATCTGCCACAGTGCGCAAGCGCCACTGGCGGCTGCAGATAGCATGACCATCAGCAAGTGCACGAGCCGCCTGCATTCTGCACCGAGGGCAGTACAGAATGCGATTATTCTATCCTGCCCATGAGCAATCTCCCAACTTATCTCTTGTTAAAAGTCGTTCTGTTTGTCAGTTCTGATCAATTCTAAAGCTAGTGTCAAGTATTTTGTTGCTCACAAATCAGTAATGTGGTATAAAATAATCTTTTGCTTTTAATCTATTACTGTTTCAAGTAGTAAACTAGATGCATTATCTTAAAAGTATAGCATTTAAATTGTGCGAAATTTGAAGTAGCACTCTTGACCATTGATCCAGAAGGGACTTACTATAGTATCACATTATTGCATTTTACGGTAAGGCGGATCCGATAAGCAGAGTAGAACTTGTTTATATACGGTATTTTTTGTTCATTGATCTCTTTTTGTATTACGAAGTCCATAAAGATTAAGATGACCGACTCCAAGTATTTTACAACCACAAAGAAAGGGGAGATATTTGAATTAAAATCAGAATTGAATAATGACAAGAAGGAGAAGAAGAAGGAAGCTGTCAAAAAGGTGAATTTTTCTTAACATTTTGATCTCCAAAAGCCTATTAATTGGTTCTGCGATATCCATGATCCTTATTTATTCCCAAATTTGTTAGTAGGTAATGTGTTAATTATTTTGCTCAATGTTTTTTTCAATATAATTATGTCCCTGCCCATGTACGGGCCTTATTTGAGTTTACTAAGATGCTAAGGACTAAATTATGAACAGAAAAACCCTGTATCGTTTTTACTGCTCATTAACCATTTTTTGATTATTATTTAATAATTAATAATCTTTAATGCCATGCAAAGAAGTATTTGCATGTAGTATTTGATCAAGTATAGTAATGATAGGTAAAGTGCCAAGAGTTTATTCAATTTTGTCTGAACAATTTAAATACATATCTATAAGTGTATGCATATGTATGTGCTTTTATATATGTCATATACATATACGTATATAAAATCCTTAAACTTTAAAATTATACGATAAATGATGTTAACACTTTGAACGCCGTGCTAGCTATTTGCAACTGATTAGCGTAGATTATACGTCGTTTGTTTTTGCATTCAATATGTTAATTTATACAAAGTGTTAAAGTTGTAATATTAACGTGATATGAAAGAGTCAGTGTTTACCAGCTGCATAATTTTGGTGACACGGGACCAGATGCATAAAGTGGTGAAGCTATAATATTGATTTATTCGGTGTTTACCCAATGCATCATTTTGTTTAAGAAAATGTAATGCCATAATATTTTTAGTAAAGCATGTTGTGATTAATTAAAAGTATGAACAACTAATCTTTAGGTGATTGCTTCAATGACTGTGGGCAAAGATGTATCTGCCTTGTTTCCTGATGTGGTCAACTGTATGCAGACAGATAATCTGGAGCTCAAGAAATTGGTGTACTTATACTTGATGAATTATGCCAAAAGTCAGCCAGAGATGGCTATTATGGCAGTCAACACATTTGTCAAGGTAACGTAGTATAGAATTTTAACAGCTGATCATTATATTTTATAATATTGCACTTTCACTCCTTATATAATATATGATACACGAATGGTGCTAAAAGTGTCTGTTGAAATAGAGGCCAGCTAAAAAATTACTTTTATGAGGGATTAGTATTCATTTTGATAATTGCAATTTTGGTCAGAAAATGTACCAATTACAAACATGTTCTGAAAATAGACTGTGATTATACAAAATGATCGTTTTCAATGTTATTTTATAATGATCATATTAAGTGAAGTTAACGATAACAGAGTTTCAGAAAAAATTCAAACATTTAGTATTTTGTATTACCTTGCTAAATTTGTTTCATATAATGAAATATATAAGTGCACTTTATGATATTATAACTGTGATGAATTTAATTAAGCTAACATATTCCACCCTCAGTACACATGGAACCTAAGCAATGGTTCCATAATTTATTCCATTGTGTAATTTTATAGTTTGTCTCAGACAGAAACAGAAACTGTGCTTTTCAAATTATATTGTTTTCACAAAAATGTCAGAATTATCCTGTAAGACAAAACGCTTCCATAACAGAATTGCTTATTTTTTAAAAGGGCACGGACTGAAATTTACTTTTAAATTAGAACCGTTAAGTCTTGATTTTTAAATACTAATATTTCAGTCCTTAATATATTGTATTTTCTCATATAACTCCGAACTTCAGGATCTACATGATATTAATAAGCTTACATAATTATATAATATAAATACTACTAATTTCACAAGCAGTACAATTTCTTTGTTGTTACGAAAATGTTACCATTTCTAAATTGAGCATGGAAGTACGTTCAAAAGATACACAGAGTCAACCAGATTTACAGTGTTTTCAGAGGTAACATATTTACGATATTGTATTCTGTGTACCAAGCTGTGTATATACTTGGCATAAGGTAAAGTACATGCTATGATACTTTCTTTATAAAGAACAAACGAGGTCCTTCGTTCACCCGCATGAAAAAGCAGTATAATTCATTGAAACGAATTATCACTGTCAATATTTGCTTTGGTGAGGAAAGTTTTATTTGGGTCATGGTAACATGAAAAGAAAGCATGCCAGTTTTTGTTTCAAAAAGTGATAGAAAATGTTTGATTTATCTGTAAAATTAGTTGAAATTCCAGTTTCGTGTTTTATTGCATAATTTACATTAACTGCACGTCTAAAACATTATCATCTTTCATAGGGCAGTGGTTAACGATAGTAATTGAATAAATTGTATTCAATGTTCTGATATTAGGTATTGAAAACCTTCAGGATACATTTAAAGTTTCCCAATAAAAAATGTATGCAAGGGGAGATGCAAAAATGACCAGAATTAAAACATAGCGCGTGTTATGTTCTAATTCGAATTATTTTTAGGCCCCCCCCCCTAGTATACAAAATTGTTTTACAAGTGCTTCCACTAAAATATATGACTTTGTAAAAGTTTATTATGAATGAACATGTAAATTGTAACCTTTACGGTTGTAACGTATCTGGATATGTACTTATTGTCGGGTGTAATTCATCTTACAATTGCAAAGGATTAAAAGTATTCAGTAATAATGTTATTGACACATATGTGACACTATTTACTATCTGGGTGTATAGCCGTATGTATGGCACTTTCGGAAAATATGCAAAAAGTAAAGGTACTTTTTCACTCATCTCATTGCTGTGTTGTTGCATGCAGTAAAGTGCTTTAATTCACTGAAAATAAGCAGGTAATCGTACTTACGATGGTATTTTTGTAATATTGAAAACGGTAGGCCACAGCTTTCAAGATGTTCAGCTGATTTTATCGTTCACATTTTCATTTGTTACACTTTATAAGATTTCGTTTTAAAAATGGAGGTCAGGCCGTTTGCACGCGTAATCCGGCAGTCTCCGGTCCAGTTTAGTTGCCGGTCCGGCCGTTTAGGCGCTGGCATTGAACTCGGCAAGCCAGATGCCGGTACAGCGACCGACATACCGATTCTAATGTAATCTTATTTGAACTTGCACACGCCGATGTCGGTGAGCTGTTCATTCCTTTCTCGGATACTTACTCGTTCATCACAGTCGGCGCCGACTCCGATTTTGCCGGTGCGTGTAAAAATTAACATGCCCGGTGCCAGTACCAGGACACGGCGTCGGCTCCGGTTTTGCCGGTGCACATGCAAATTTCCCATTTTGCTGTACCTCGTATGATAGGGTTGTAAAAATCTTAATGTAAAAAAAAAATGTATCATTCATTATTTCGTTAATGGGTAATGCATTTATATTTTTCTCCTAAACAATGAATGGATTAAAAGTCCATTATTTAACCCGTTAACCGCAAAGGCGTATACATCTATACGTCCAACATTTTGTCCGCTACTGTCTGTACGCGGTTACGAACGCACCAGCTTATGTTACCACTTAAGTATTCAAAATGATGTTATCGCCAAAAAGGGTATAAATGAATTTTAATTTATCGACATCGATTAAATTTCTCAGTGCCTTTCATATCACGTTAAAGTATTATAGACATTTATTTCCTAGAATTTTAAGCAATGGAATAATTTTGGTATGCACCATGCTTTGGCAAATTAAACAATTATGAGGAATGTTATTGCAGTTTTTACCAATATTTGCTAAATGACCACTGTAAATAATATTCAATTAATTTTCTTTGCTGAATTTAGGAGCATTCCTGTTGACTTAATCTCATAATGCATTCAGATCCTTTTTATCTATATCTCTTTATCTTCAAATTAATGAATTTCTACATAAATATGGGGACATTTCATTGCTTTTCCTTTTCCTTTCATCTATCCTGTCCATGTATGTACTCGATATCTTCATACCTGGTATAATGTCAGGTTCAAAATGAATTGATCAAGATTATAAATATTAAGCTTAATATTACATAAGCGTACTTTGAAATCAATCCGTAGTATACAGAAAAACCTACGAATGATAACCTAATTTTAATTTTCAATGATACGATACTGTCACGACCTATATATATGTTTTTTCACCACTCTTTGTATGAAACCAGTATTATATAGTCTGTGAATACTTGAAATCAATAATAATGCTTAAAAAGCATTTATATTGTTAATGAATGACAAAAAGAGGGATAGGTTGTGGCACGTGCTCTTTAAAAAAATGATCAATTCAAGCTAGTACTGAGTTAAATTTTTTGATAGTTGTAAATTAGTGAATAATAAAACTGGCGACGGTGACCAATTTGACCTTTTTCGTTCTGACACGCAAAAGGATCTAGCGACATCTCCGATATTAAAGGTACCTAATACCATTATCTATTCCGTTAAAACTCGTTGAGTGAGATTTAGATAGCCACTGCTGTGACTAGACTTGAATCCCTGGCTTGCCCGATTTTTGTGCAGGATTGTGAAGATCCCAATCCCCTGATCAGAGCGCTGGCTGTTCGTACAATGGGTTGTATCAGAGTTGACAAAATCACCGAGTATCTATGCGAGCCATTGCGAAAATGCTTGAAGGATGAAGATCCCTACGTCAGGAAAACGGCGGCAGTCTGCGTTGCTAAACTGTACGACATCAATGCTGTTTTAGTAGAAGATCAAGGCTTTTTAGATCAGTTAAAAGATCTCCTGTCGGACAGTAATCCAATGGTATGCTATAAGGACAAGATTCTGCAGAAATATTTATTATACAATAGGTTGGTTGTAATGCAGATTCTCTTCTATATTTTAATCCATCGACCAGGTCGTTGCTAATGCAGTAGCAGCGTTATCCGAAATCAACGAAGCAAGCGCCAGTGGTCAGCCATTAGTTGAAATGAATGCTCAAACCATTAATAAGTTACTAACAGCCCTGAACGAATGTACCGAATGGGGTCAAGTGTTCATTTTGGATTCCTTGGCAAATTATTCCCCCAAAGATGATCGCGAGGCTCAGAGCATATGCGAAAGAATTACTCCAAGACTGGCTCATGCTAATGCAGCAGTGGTTCTTTCAGCTGTTAAGGTTGCGTATTACTCTTCTCATGAAAATGATCAATCGCTTTGCACGTTATCGTTTCCCTAAATCTCAGAACATTTTTGATACCAGAAGTAAATAATCACTTTTTTAAAATCAGGTTCTGATGAAACTTATGGAAATGCTACAATCCGAATCAGATTTCGTTGGAACTTTAACGAAGAAACTTGCACCTCCATTGGTGACATTGTTAAGCTCCGAACCAGAAGTACAATATGTTGCACTTAGAAATATCAATTTAATTGTACAGAAACGGCCAGATATTTTGAAACACGAGATGAAAGTCTTTTTCGTTAAATATAATGATCCTATATATGTTAAACTCGAGAAGCTGGATATTATGATCAGACTGGCTTCGCAAGCAAATATCGCACAAGTTCTTTCAGAGTTAAAAGAATATGCTACAGAAGTGGACGTTGATTTTGTACGAAAGGCCGTTCGAGCTATTGGCCGTTGTGCAATTAAAGTTGAACCTTCTGCAGAAATGTGTGTTTCAACATTACTCGATTTAATTCAAACGAAGGTACGTTTTATAAATTTAAGTTTCATTTTCTGTATTTTTGTTATACCAAATATGTCGGTCTGTTTTAAAGAATACTTTTCTGCCTCTGTTCTAACTACAAAGAAATATTATGGAGAAAGTTTATCGCATAGGCAATGATGAAGAATTGAAAGTATGAGATTCCATGGTAAATTTGTTATTATACGTAACAAATTAAATAAGCTAGACGATAGCTTTACTTTGGTAGGATCAAAATGTAATATTTTTAATTTCGTAAATGATGAAAGGTTTTTGATACAGGTAAATTATGTAGTTCAAGAAGCGATTGTTGTAATCAAAGACATTTTCCGTAAATACCCTAACAAATATGAGAGTATAATTTCGACTCTCTGTGAAAATTTGGATACGTTGGATGAGCCCGAAGCGAGAGCGTCTATGATTTGGATAATTGGAGAATACGCAGAACGTATTGATAACGCAGATGAACTGCTAGAAAGCTTTCTGGAAGGTTTCCACGATGAAAACACTCAAGTGCAATTACAATTACTTACCGCTATTGTTAAACTGTTCTTAAAACGGCCAACCGATACCCAGGAATTGGTTCAGCAAGTTCTCAGCTTGGCGACTCAAGATTCTGATAATCCAGACTTAAGGGATCGAGGTTTTATTTACTGGAGATTACTTAGTACTGATCCAGCTGCAGCGAAAGAAGTTGTTCTTGCAGAGAAACCCCTTATCTCGGAAGAAACGGATCTTCTAGAACCAACTCTACTGGACGAACTCATTTGCCATATTTCCAGCCTGGCGTCGGTATATCATAAGCCTCCTACAGCATTTGTAGAAGGTAGAGCAGCAGGAGCTAGGAAATCATTACCTGCTAGAACCAATTCGAATGAAGACGCCATTCAAAGAGTCACTCAACCTCCGGCTCAAGTTATTCCTGCTCAAGATTCGTTGATAGGCGATCTTCTCAGTATGGATATCGGTGAATACAATATTATTATTTTGCAAAAAATAAATACAATTTCGGTGGAACGTTAAAGCAGCATTAGAACTAACATATACGTTGTTATTTTATTTTATTGTCAGATTATTTCCAATACTGTTTTATGAAAGTATTATAGTTTCAATTAGCATAAGGGTATTAAAACGTGGAAATACATGTAGTTTAAGATAGGAATAACGTGATTTTTGTTTAACGTACACATACGAAATTATTTATTCCTCATAGGTGGCCCAGTAATGCCAGCAGCACCCAGCGCTCAGCAAAGATTAGGGGTAGATTTATTAGGAGGTGGACTGGAAGGAATCTTGGCCAGCACCGATACCAATGCCGAATCATCCGCAATTTCTCAAAGCACGACTGGTCTTCTTGGAGACATATTTGGATTTAATCAAGGTCCTTCGTCATACATACCACCAAAAGTAAATTGGTTACCCGCTGAAAAGGGTAAAGGGTTCGATATTTGGGGAACCTTCTCAAGGAAGTAAGTTAACTGATTATTTTATCTAAATAGAATTGAATGACTTGTGGTCTTATATACACTTTCAGAAATGGGCAAATCAGTATGGACATGACGTTCACGAATAAAGCTATGCAAGCTATGGGTGGATTCGCAATACAGCTTAACAAAAATAGTTTCGGACTGACGCCAGCCGCATCGCTTCAGGTTGCTGGACCTTTGGGTCCAGGCGCCAGTGTGGAAACAAACGTTGTTTTATCAACGGCCGGAGCAGTTCAACGAATGGAGCCATTAAACAATCTTCAAGTAGCAATTAAAAATAATATCGATGTATTTTATTTCGCATGTCTAGTGCCTATGAATGTGTACTTCACTGAAGATGGACAGCTCGATAAAAGAGTCTTCTTATCTACTTGGAAAGATATACCAGCTCAAAACGAGGTAATGTTAACTATTTTCATGGAATTTTGTTTTGCATAATTGCTCATGTTAATTATATTTTACTTAACAATAAAAAATGTAAGCCCGGTAATATGATTCCAAATAAAGGTCGTATTATTTACAATTAGAAAATCTTGAAAAATTTGTGTTGATAATATTTATTCGAGCTTACATTCTAAAGAAGTTTACGAACTCTGCATTATTTTAGTACTTTACACTAATCTTTTGATTAGGTGCAATACACGTTGAATGGTGTGATGCTCACCGTTGATCAAGTGGTACAAAAAATGCAGCAAAACAATGTCTTTACAATTGCTAAGAGAAATGTTGAAGGGCAAGACATGCTTTATCAATCATTAAAATTAACAAATAATGTTTGGGTACTCAATGAACTGAAAATTCAGCCTGGAAATCCGGATGTCACGGTATGACTCATATTGGTACAGAAAATTAATGAAATGGGCTTTAATTGTAATAAATAATTTTTTTTTTACAGCTCTCACTGAAGTCACGTTCCGTGGAAGTAGCACCTGGTGTTTTTCAAGCATACAATGCAATTCTACACTCCTAAACTTCCAGAACTTTCACAATTCTGTACTTAGAAATTTTCTGAATTTTTAATCAAGCATTGAGACATTCAGATTTATCTAATATTCAGTGAGAATGTTGAGTTGGATTAAAAATTGCTGTAAAAATTAACTTAAATAACACAATATCCCTAAATAGAAAATGAATCTCAAAACATAAGAATAAACATTGGAAAAAGTACTTGAAAGAAAAATTAAGCAATAGTCAATAAATAAAAGTGTTTGAAACTTGTTTAATATATCACGATTTTTAGAGTTCGAATTTGCTGAAGTAAATAGTAATGAAAGATTTGCTTTTATGAGTATTCACATATTTAAAGTTACGACTATTGCTTACAAATTCTAATTATATATCTTCAACTGTTAATTATGAATATTAACTTGAGTTTTTGTAATTAGAAGAAGACTTTATTTTAAATACTTTCTACAATGAATTTATGAAACAAAATGGATTCATTTATCACAGAACCCCAAATATACTTGTTACGTAAAAGAATACAACATGCATATATAATCACCCGCTGTTTCTAAAGTGAACATTTTGAATTACATACATGTGTATTTATAAATGTACTAGTGTAATGTGAAGCCAACCGATACAGAAATAAAATTCATACATATAGAAATTGTTCTATATTTGAAAGGAACGGGATAGGAGGTAATAACGTTTCGTATGTTACTTCATTTGCGTTTTTTAAGTATTTATTTACCGAATGAAAAGAGAAATATGTTGTATATTATTAGCATTGAACCTTCCTCCTGAACGAGCAACCTTCGGTAAGCCGTGCTTTACCGCCGGTTGATGTACACAATATCATGTGACAACCATCGCATTCTACTGCCTGTTGTGCATGTGAGAAAATGGTCTTGATAGCATAACAACCAGGGCATTTAACATCCATGAAATAACTATTCGGTTTTTGAACCAATCTTTTAAGCTTATGCTTCCTTTTCTCCTCAGCTGGTGTTGGATGAAGAAGGTCTTTTGCCAACGGCATTCTGAAAATATTAGAACATGTGAATAGATACGATATAACCACCAAAAATAGAAATATAAGAATATTTTTCCATTGTTATCGTCAGACCGAATAAGTCATGGAGTAGTAACTAATATCATGATCAATTATAAGAAATTTACATGCTAGTTTTAGCGTTTAATAGCAATTTTATAGATATTAACAAGACGATATTGATCAAATTTCACGATAATTCAAGATAAAAATGTTATACATCTTGTTGACACGTCTGTAGATGCACTTGCAATGTTCATTATATGCGTACTTCTATATTAAGTATATTGGATATTTTAGTAATGATTAGATTGAGAAAAGTAAAATTAATTATTTGATACTTATACTTACATGATGCTTTTCTTATATCAATGTAAACCGATAATAATACGTCAAGCCACGTGCTTCTTCACGACGTAAAGCACCGGAAAAGACGGATCCTCTTTGAATACTCCTATACAGATGAACATAGATGGTGACTCTCATTGTTTATTTCCGTATCGGGTATTGCTACTACCATCTAACAGAATGTTCCGAACTTTGTAGCAAAAGTGAATAGAAATGGGGACAAATAGTTACTTACTCAATCTCTTACTGGGGACAAATAGTTACTTACTCGAGAATAGGCCTCCTGATGCAGAGACATCCAAATGTATGTATCTCTCTCTGGAGTAAGCTCGCCGTATATTCTTAAGCGTGGCGAGCGTTCCAGTTTACTACACATTTCGGTCAGAACTGATGAGGTTTTATATATTTTATATCTTTTTTATTTGGATGATCTATTTTGTCACTCAGGACGATTCAAAATTTGCACTGCTCCAGCCGCTAATACGCCGTGCAGTCAGAAACGGGAGCATGTCCGCAGGGAACCATTCATGTTCGCTAGTGTACCATTAGATGACGCCACAATTCAAGGCACGTATGCATACACTTTTTTACTTTCTCAATATCCATCATTTATAGTAAGATTCTCTAACTGAAAACCAATGTGGCGCTTTAGTTTAGAAGGTTATGGATTTAAGGTTCGGGGTGTGGCATATTATTGCAATTTGAAATGTTCTAATTATTTAACAACTAGTGAATCACATGGAAATATTAAATCAGTACACTGTAATTAGTTTTTATTGACGGTCGGTGTTTTTATGTTGTGTCTTAGTTCCGTCATTTGATTGGAAGCCTTTCCGTCAAGTTGAACGATTTCTGGTTTTTCGTTTATTAGAAACATTATTAGTGGAGTTACAAAGGATATAACGTCTGAAAAGTGAAACCAATACGGAAGTTTACGATTTAAAACGATGGGAACGTTGAGGTCAGAAAAAATGTCTGTCTAACTATCCAGACAATTAAGGCTTACTGGTAGCTTAGACAGTAGGTAAACAAGCACCAGCTGAGGCAAACATTACTTGATAGACCACATTAGATGAAATCATCAGCGCAAAATTTGACGTGGGATGTTGAGCATTACCACCCCCACTCAGCCCCACGCATACACCGAAATGTCTCGCTTAGCCGACTACTTCGTAGTCGTCGGCTACGATCACGAGAAAGAGAGTAAGTTCAAAGTAATGTTATTTTCATAGGTTATTGCTATAAATTTTATATTTTACATGTAATAACGTAGGGCAATGTTTCAAAAAGCACATGCCTTAGATTGATTTACAATTTTTTATATCTATAAATTTTAACCCACTGATCAAGAATATGGTAGTAAAAATTGACACAAATGTCATCTTCAAGGTAAAAATTATTGATAATAATTTTGGGGTGGCGAGAGGGGGTGAAGGAGAGTGAAAAAAGGCAAAGTAGGGCGAGAAATGGCAAAAAAGGACGAGAAAGGGTAAGGAAGGGTGAAAAAAGGCAAGGAAGGGCAAGAGGGGACCAGGAAGGGTAAGAGAGGACGAGAAAGGGCGAGGAAAGGCGAATAGGGAAAATTCGAAAAGGTGTGAGGGTTACACAACAACTAAGTATCCGGCATGGAACATCGTTGAATGATACGTGTGAAACAAGGCTTATTCTTATTTACAACCCTTCACGTGTTATTGTATTGCAATTCTTGTCTCGTATATTTTATATTTACATTTAATTATTCTCTATTAATAATAAATATACATTATTATATGACATTTTTCTTATAGGAGGTGGAACCAGTAGAGGCATTATTCTACAAAGGTTTCCTGATCAGGACTGGCCTGACACACCATTCATTGATGGAATGGAATGGGTATTGACGAAATAAGCATTGACCGTATAGATTAATCTTGTAACTCTTATGATTTTTTAGTAATATAAGCCATTTTAAATTACGATAATGTGGTTTTAGAGACATATTAAGAAAGTAATAATTTCAATTCTACTTGCAGTTTTGTCAACCTCAAGGATGGGCATTATCTACAGAACGTCAGGAACCACGATTTTATGTCTCTATTTTGACTGATATTGATGCTAATCGTCACTACTGTGCATGTATGTGCTTCAATGAAACTATTTCTATTACACCTAGCAAACCTGTAGATGAAGAAGAAGATCCTGTAGATGGCGATAGCCGTACTCTGGTCAGAACAATTCCTACAATTACACATCATAGCATTATGTATGCACCAAAATGTCTGGTGCTGGTCTCCAGGCTGGATTACATTGAAACTTTTCGGGTATGTAGCATAATGTAAAACTCTCATATTACCTGTTTGAATCACAAGTAATATTGTAGTGGTATCATTTGAAGCGAATCGGTATTCCGAATTCGGAGAATACTGATACGAACGATCTGACCTCACATATATAGGCTGACTCTTCCATATCACCTTAAGGCGACAAAAATTGTATATGTTTTGTGATCTTACATAAATCGTAATAATTTCAGAACTGCCTAGGAATTATTTATACGGTGTACGTAGAAAATCTTGGTATACCTCTGGAAACATTAGTAGGAAACATCTTGGGTTGTATACAAGTACCACCAGCTGGTGGGCCACAGGTCCGATTTAGCATCGGGGCTGGTGATCGTCAGGCGTTGCAGCCGCCAATCAGTCCCTCGCTTCCTATTACGCATACGAGCGTAAGTCTACTGTTTCAACAACTGGGTAAGGAAAATGAGTTTTTCATGGACAGGCAGGTTGGAGCCACACAGGCGTTAAAATTAACTACCGTCGTAAGAGTATATTATTACTAATTGCGATTATCACCGAGAGATCTGCGTCGCTTTCGTTATACTACAGCGTAACGCTCGTCGGTTTTGCCGCTCATATGGCCCCAGTCTTAAATACGTATATCAGTTATAATCGATATCTTTGATTGCATTTACCATAATATTTTGTTGAATAACTGTAATCACTTCTAACTGATGTAATTATAATTTTATAACTTTTTTAATTTAACTTTTCCAGGTATTCGAAATGTATTGGTATTATTCTGTACGGTGATGACGGAACACAAAATACTCTTCCATTCGGCCAGTTACTCTCGCTTAACAGAGGGTTGTCGAGCTCTTACCGCACTGATGTATCCTTTTAGATACACGCACGTTTACATTCCACTTTTACCCGCGGCTCTGGTCGAAGTACTGAGTACGCCTACACCGTTTATTATGGGGGTACATAGTTCTTTAAAGCACGAAGTTGCAGAATTGGTAAGCCTTTTACTAATTTTATTTACTTTCGGTTGGATAAACCCGATTAAAATTTATCATACTCGTTTGGTTATTCCAAACTCTGATGTCTTAATATTTGATAATGGTTGTTCAGCTTGTTTCTGCTCCTGTATTGCATAATAATAATAAATTATTGTATTCTAAGTGTAACCTGACAATTTGAAATAACCGATAAATTAATACACAAGTTTTTTGTGGTTTATTTCACTGCAGATGGATGTGATAGTAGCTGATTTAGACGGTGGCTCAATAATGGTGCCGGATGGTGTCTCTCTATCTTTGCTTCCTGAACCACTTCTTTCTCAAACACAAGACGCTCTTTCCCTCGTCTTACAACCAGAGTTGAATTGTGCAGATTATGCGTTTCCGCCATTAACCACAAGAGCTCCACATCCTCCTATGTTGGATAAAGAACTTAGAGCAGTTTTTATGCGTACATTTGCGCAATTGCTCCAGGGTTATCGTAGTTGTCTTACCCTGATCCGAATTCATCCAAAACCAGTTATCACTTTTCACAAGGTAACTACTTTTCAAAATGATTCAGTGATAACACGAAATGCAGTATAGAAATTATACATTTAATGACGAGTTTATATCTGTAGGCAGCGTTTTTGGGTGAAAGAGGTTTGACAGATTGCGATTTCACTACGCGAGTACTGGATTGTATGTTTTTCACATCATTCATCGCGGAGAGAGGTCCCCCCTGGCGACCTTGTGATGTGTGGGACGAATTGTACAGCAACCTGAGTGATCAGTTGAAACAAGAAATACAAGAACCTGGCAAGTGTCTATAACAGTGTCACCAAATATTGTACGTCAACTTAATGTTACTCACTGCGTATCCTTTCAGGACTTGTTTTGACGCACATTCAAGAATTAGCCCAGCAGCTGTATACGAATGAAAATCCAAATCCTCAACCATATGTGCAGAAGATCTTGAAACCACCCGAAGGAGCTTTCGCTCGAATACATCAACCCCTTCTTCCACGTATCAATTCTGAACAAGTACAAGCTATAATTGACGAAGGTCTTGCCAAAAATAATCTGAAAGTCAGGTAAGTGTCTTTCGTCACCATGTTATAATAAGTAAAGGAACTTGTGATGTGTTATGTGATAAAACAGATATTCTTTAATCGTTAATTTGTTTCTTAGATTGTCATCATTAAGGCCCGTTCAACCGCGAATAGTTCCGATGGGACCGCACATTTCCATAGTCCATGACACGAGACATTTAGTCAGCAATTCTGCTCGTAGATTAGAGGTTTTACGTAATTGTATAAACTGCATATTTGAGAACAAAATTTCGGATGCAAGAAAAACTTTTCCGGCGGTGCTCCGTGCATTGAAGAATAAAACTGCGCGCCTAGCCCTATGCATGGAATTGTCGCAACACGTCGTCGGTAATAAAGCTATGCTTGAACATCAGCAATTTGATCTCGTAGTGAGGCTGATGAACTGTGCTCTGCAAGATGATTCATCGATGGATGAGCACGGCGTTGCTGCAGCTTTGCTGCCACTCGCAACAGCTTTCTGCAGAAAACTTTGCACCGGGGTTATTCAATTTGCCTACACCTGCATACAAGAGCATGCTGTGTGGCAGAATCAACAATTTTGGGAAGATGCGTTTTATTTAGATGTTCAAAAAGACATTAAGCGTCTGTATCTACCCGGAGAGAATTCACAGTCTAAATTAGCGAATGATAATGTACTCATTCCTATCAGTCCACGAGAGAGTAAAGACCTCCCGTTCAAAGATCGATGTTCAGTTTATCGAACGCAAGAACCTTCTGCTTTGGAAATTGCTGCTGAGCAAATGAGAATCTGGCCAGTAATTGACCCAGAGAAACAACGAGAACTTATCAGCAGCGAAGAGAGCACCATGTATAGTCAAGCTATTCATTACGCAAACAGGATGGTCTATCTTTTAGTTCCTCTGGATATTGGGGCTAAAATTCACCGCCAAGACAACGTATATGACGACGAACGAGCTAGCAACAGTATTACCAACAGGTAACAATTTCGCTGTTACATTCAATGATTGTGATCATACATTTTCTTACTTCTTATATCCAATGGGGATCTTACCCAATACTAAAAAGTCATGATACATGGTCGCAAAACGTTGTGGTTCTGTTAGGATGATGACCCTGATAGCCTCTGAGGGAATGCCATCAGGACTTAAACCCTTATTACTTTTATGATCCAAATAAGCATCACTAAAAAAAATCAGTTTCTTTGAATCAAAGAAATTTTTTTTTTGTGTATGGAAACGACATATATAATATGCCGTTTAGTACAGTACTTAATGTAATGCGACACAACTATTAATATAAATACAAACAGTAAAGTAGGCAGAAAAATCTTTTTCATCTACGCCTGTTAAAATTTTGGAAAGTTTTTACTTTACCTTAAATCAGGAAGAATGTATTTTCTATTTATATATAATGGCAAGAAGCAATGCATTTTTTCTTCTTAACAGTGTAGCAAGTGACAGTGGCGATGCGGAATCGGGCTTTGAAGAAACGGATCCTGGTGAAACTGGTGCAGCCGTAATACGAATGGTTTCCCGATTTGTAGACCGTGTTTGTACAGAAGGAGGTGTAAGTACGGAACACGTTAGGTGTCTTCATCAGATGGTTCCTGGAGTCGTTCATATGCACGTGGAAACCTTAGAAGCGGTACATAGAGAGAGCAAGAGATTACCTCCTATACAAAAGGTAACTGATCGTAAAAGTTGCAGCGATGTGTAGTTAATGATAAATGTTTCTTTCTCGATGTAGCCAAAGATTTTGACGCCAAATACGTTACCTGGAGAGGACGTAATAATGGACGGCCTACGCGCTTATCTTCTACCAGATGGAAGAGAGGAAAGTTCTGCAGGTCTCCCAAAAATACCACCTCTGTTACCCGCTGAAGGAGCCATTTTCTTGACGAATTACAGGATCGTATTTAAAGGAATACCTTGTGACCCGTTTGGTAAATTCATTAATTTAGATATTACGTGACTATATGAGACAAGCACTGTGTTGTACTACATGTGCTTTTCTTATGTAACACAGCTTCTTGAGTACATTTTTGTCCGTTAGCAATTTTTTTTTAATTGTTAAGCACGGGGAACACATGGTTAATAAATAATAAAAAATATAGGTGCTGTGTTCTGTACATAACATTGAGTATAGCATTATTTTATATAGATTATATTATTCGTTATGTCAATTATTCACATTATTTCATTTAACATTGTTAGCATGCGAGCAGTTGGTCGTTCGAGCTTTTCCAGTAACGTCCCTTACTAAAGAAAAGCGTGTAGCTGTACAACATTTGGCACATCTGGATCAGTGCCTACAGGAAGGTCTTCAGCTTCGTTCCGCTACCTTCCAACTTATAAAACTTGCATTTGATGAAGAAGTTACACCTGAAAATATAGAGACACTGAGGAAATTAGTTCACAAAGAACGTTATCCTCCGCATATATTCCACCACTTCGCATTCAATGGTCAAGTCTTGGTGACTCCCACCGCTCATCAGAAAGGGAAAGAAAAAAATGCTACACTCAAGTAATTATTAATTTACAGCTTCCGAAAATAACTCATGTCAAATGTTACATTGATATTAATTGCCACTAAAATTTGATTTCATTTCTAGAGGTTTTGCAAAGAAAACTCTTCTAAAAACAGCTCGAAAAGCTGGTTTTAAACCGAAACAGTCCTCAAAGAGGCAAAAATACGTCTTGCCAAATATGAATCTTACAAGCAGCAATAAATACATGACCTCACCTGGCAGGATGAGTTTACCAGTAACGGATAATAACGACTTAAGCCATGACGATGATCTCAGTGGTAAGTGTCATGGTTGACTTGTTTTACACTATAATGTATCTTATTTTTAGTTCAATAATTCACATACATGTACTGAATTACAGTTGATGAATTTGAGATCCCTGGAATTGTAACACAGCCACCGACTGATGCAAAGACCTTAGAACGTTTGTCGGAACGCAGTTACGTCAGGGACTGGTATCGACTGGGTTTATGTCCAAGTAGCCCACACAATAATCGTCGAAGTGAACCATTTCGTCTTACATCAGTTAACTGTGCGTATATGATGTGCAGAACCTATCCTGCACTTCTCATAGTTCCTAGCTCTATATCAGATGAAAGCATTCGTAGATTTTCAAGACTATACAGACATAACAGGGTACCAGTTGTTACTTGGAGGCATCCAAAAACAAAAGCTCTCTTACTACGGGGAGCTGGTTATCACGGCAAAAGTGTCATGGGAATGCTTAAAGCCCATCCCTCTTCTACTGGAAATCTTAAAAGTACATACTTTAAACAGTTCGCTTCATTTTTATGTTCGAAGAGAAATAGAAGAAACTTATTAATTATTCCTTTCAGCCACATCATCTGAAAGTACATCTTCATTAGAACAGGAAAAGTACATAATGGCGCTTGTAGCTGCAACTCCGGTTTCTGTATTGCGTCAGGGTTCGGCGTGGGGTATGTCTGACAGTTCGCTCAGCATAGACTCTTTACTTCTTGCTGCAGAAGATAAAAATGCTACTCCCGAACACTCACGAAGAAATCCTTTTAACAAAGCTCTCGGTACTCTCGGGTATGTGGTTGATTTTTTGCATAAAGTTCTATAACTCCGTTAGAATTTTGTAGACTAACATTCTTGACCGACCATCCTAGTGGTGATCATTTTTATTATAGAATACATAAATTAGTAAGGCCCTGTAATAGTATACCTTTTAAGGACACTAAATCACAGTAAAAGGGACTTTATACGAAATTAAAAGAAGAATCCTTGTAAATGCAATTACTTACTGATACATAACCTACCTATAAATGTGTTAAAGATCATCAGGTGGTAAAGGTCATAAAAACTTTGGTCGCTGGGGATCGCTCAAAGATAAAAGACATAATTCTCAAGCATCATTAATGACGGTCAATCAACGTGGAACGGTAAGGCATTCTGCTGATTCGGATAGCGGTACGGAATGCGTTCATACATTTCAAAGGGCAGCATTGTATATACTGGGTGAGAAGGCCCACATGAAGGTAATTTTATTTAATATTTTCTCATCTATGGAATCAATAAGTTGCAATCATGATATAACTCTACAATTTTTGAAGCAACATTATAATTGCCATAGTAATAATCGATTATACATTTCTTGATTGTATGTTCTAGGGAGTTAAATCGGAATCCACGCCGAAAACCGATTTCATACCAGTTGAATATTACGATGTAAGGCACACAAAAGCGGCTTTTAAAAAATTAATGAGAGCTTGTGTACCCAGTTCAGCGAATCTTGAACCAGATCAAAGCTTTTACAAGTGCGTAAATTCTCATGCATCAAGAAATTAATAATTTTGCACTACTTACTCTTGAAGTATCTCTGCGGTTTTAACAAGACGAGAAAACGTTCGTATTGTTCCTCATCTTAAATCAAGTACACGACTACAACTTTATCGTAGGAAGTGTTTCACAAGGTTTAACTTGCCCAATGTGATTTATCTGATCTGTTTACAACCCTGAAATAACTTTACATAATTTTGGAGTATTTCGCCGTTTGTTAAGCATCGATGTTTATCAGGCTATTACATATTCTAAATTTGAAATGTTTAACCAGATACCGTTTTCCTTAGGTTAATAGAGAGTTCCGAATGGCTACAACAGTTGCAAAATTTAATGCAATTAGCCGGAGCCGTGATAGATCTGATGGACGTACAAGGCTCTTCGGTGACGGTGTCGCTAGAGGATGGGTGGGATACTACAGCAATAGTATGTTCCGTGGCTCAAGCATGCCTAGATCCACATTATAGGACGATCGAAGGTTTCAGGACACTCATTGAGAAAGAATGGCTTGGATTCGGTTACCGATTTGGTCACCGAAGCAACCTAGCTGCCAATTCTCAAACAACTAACTTCACGCCCACTTTTCTTCAATTTCTCGATATAATTCACCAAATTCAAAGACAGTTTCCTCTGGCATTTGAATTTAATGATTATTACCTCAAATTTTTGGCTTATCATTCGGTATCTTGCCGCTTCCGTACATTTCTTCTCGATTGTGAATTCGATAGGGTCGAATGTGGAATCACGGCTGTCGAAGACAAAAGAGGTTCTTTAACGAGCCATCACAAGGGGGTGGATACGGGCAGTGACGATGAGACCGTATATCCTGGTGGTCGATTAGCAGGAACAACTATGGGTGCAAACTTGGGACAGAGCATTTTCGATTATATAGAAAAACAACATACCAGATGTCCTCTATTTTACAACTTCTTATATACCCCTAATACGGAACATCCGGTACTTCGACCCGTTTCTCATCTGCCTAGTCTGGATATTTGGCAATATTACTTAGAAGAAGAGCTTGCCCACGGACCGGCTTTCGATTTGGAAATATTGCAACAAGATTTTCAACAAGAGGAAGAAGCTGAAGCTGCAGATGGCATTGTCAAGAGCAACAGGAAAGTCGTCACACAGGGGTAAGTTTATGGCTGTGTAAACATAAATAAATCTGTAGTTAGCAATCCTGAATTATTGTTAATAATTTAAACCCTTGAAATTATGCCTTAACAGTTATGATGGAGTAAGTGCAAGGATTCCGGATCAATTTTCGCATCTGCTGGAAGACATTCATAAATTGGAAACGGAATTAGGTCATTTACCGCAAAAATGGAAAGTGTTATGGGACAAACTCGAACTACCCAATACCGATTCTCTTGCCGTAAGTATTATCTATATTAACATGATATAATGATGAAATTATTCTATCTAAAAATGTATCAGAGTAAAAATCACATTAACGTGATTTTACTTCCAAAGATCAACTTTACATATTTTAATAATTTTTAGAGACATTCATCATTCAGCACGGCTCTGGTTAGGTATCATGGAAGACTAATCCATAAACGTTCTACCCTCGAATTACTGTTGAGAGGAAAACTTGCTGGGGGAAATACACCTGGAAACGAAAGCTCTGCGTACGCTCACCCTCATAGGTACTACTATTGATAAAAATAGATTACCATGTAATTATAAATAGTGATGTTGGATTGACTAAAAGGTCTTGCGACGCTAATGACACGGTGTTAAATATATAGCGTCGCAGGACTTTGTAGCCAGCCCAAATATAAGTATTAAACATAATAATGATCCTAGATTCGAAAGACTTGATTCAGCGACGCCGACGCATTGTGACGCTTGTTCCGGTGTGCTATGGGGTCCTGTGAAGGCTGGATTGCGGTGTGTAGACTGTGGTCATGTATGTCACGATAAATGTGCTGATTCTGTACCAAAAAATTGCACCAAGTACAAAGCAGTGGCTGATAATCTACAATCCCATACTCTTACAAGAAGTGGCGGTGATAACGGAAGCGTCAATTCCAGTACGAATTTAATATATTATTTAGTCGCTTATATCTGATTCTGTTAAAACTCGTACAAAGCAACGGTCAAATTTGTAGGTGTTTCTGCAATACAAACGTCTTCGCAACAATACTACGAACAATTTTCAAGTAATGTGGCAGAAAACAGGACGCATGAAGGGTATTTGTATAAACGTGGTGCCCTGCTTAAAGGATGGAAGCAACGGTGGTTTGTCCTAGATTCTATAAAACATCAACTTAGATATTATGACGCTATGGAGGATTCTCACTGTAAAGGTTACATAGGTATGTAGTTCTGAATAATTCAAGGGTAATTTCTTCAAATAAAATGATTGACGAACAACAATTTTTTCACATTAGATTTAGCAGAAGTTGTATCCGTCACCCCGGCAGCACCTACACCTGGGCCGCCGAAGAAGACCGATGATAAGTCGTTCTTTGACGTAAGTTGTAGATAAATACGCTGTGAAATACAGTATTGCTATTCAGTATTCTCGTAGTCGTTGCTTTGGGGACACAAGTAAAGACAAGTTGGCCATTTTTAATTCTAACGTCATTGGTGACTAAATTACATGAAATTTCTATTTACTTAAGCGAATGACATTTGTCAATGCAGATCAGGATCCGACAAAACTAGATACGATATATGTCAGCTGGTCAATCTCTGACAACATACGTTAGAAAACGAAATATCACCTTTTGAAAAATGGTTCATTAGGACCACTAAAACAAAGATTATCATTTAGCATTTAGTAAATTTTAGTCTTTATAGTTTAGAAAATAATACTAGTGTATTACCAAGTTCCAATATTTCATTTTCTTGCGTACAAGTCATTATGCACTGACATATTTCGTTATTATCTAGTTTCCTTGTATGCTGGCCTTCCTCAGCCAATGTCATTCGTTTCAGGGTAGGAAATATTTTTCTCGAGAATAAGTTTCATGTATGTTTTATGTAACTTCGTATACGTGTTGATGACGTCAATAATAGGAAGAAAGAAGTAATCTATTTTTAACTAAAGAAGTCATACACGGCATATTGAAAAATGTTATGAGTAAATTGTTTTGCTGTATCTTGTTGTAGCTGCGTACAAATAGACGAACGTACAATTTCTGTGCGGGTGATGCAACGACAGCGCAAGAATGGATCGAGAAGGTTCAAGCGTGCTTACAGTAGTGCCTATCCTCGATTCTGGTTCTAATTTATATCGTTCAAGTGACTGATAGAATAATGCAAACTTTAGTTTTGTTATATAATTTTGTACAGCCAAACGGTATGTGCCGCGAACTGTGAAAATTCTGCCGTGCAAGTTCTACAAGCCAAAATCATTGGAATGCTAAGAAACATCAACTTTAGAAGAGAAGCTTGCAAAACCAATGTTTTACGATGTACACACAATATATTGTTATTGTATGAAGCGCAGTTATATACAAGGTGTCTTATAGGAAGATACTAAAACTAAACAGCTGCCCAGTAACTGCATGTGTTCGAAAACAACAGCTGATTACTTTCAGCAACTTCCCATAGGACACCCTGTGTAAATATATTTATTATTTTACATTTAGTATTAATTAAGGGGAATAACATCTTGCTTTAATGCTCTGAACATTGCTTGCAGATTTAATCTTATATTTATAAATTAATGAATGAACGATATTAGAATTTTCAATATAAGTTTCTTGTATCTGCCGATATGTGATGGTTGTTACAATTATGACTCTCCGTTAGAATGCAATTTTGCTTCTTATAAAACGGGCTGTGAATGGAAATGATTCAGTAACAGAAAATATTCGTTTCCTCGAAGACTTTATTTACATAAGTATTCTAATATGAGTTTAATTAAATACGACACAGTGAAAAGAAAAATTGTCCGATTTTCAGCAACATTAGCTGTCACCTACTTAGCAGCTTGTCATTAATTAGCGTTTTAATGACTTAAGTGTAAACATAAATCATATGTAATATGAAAAACGAATAATCTCACTTGTTTAATTTTTTTCACCCCACAGAATGTGCAGTACCTATTTCCAGGGTGGGTAAGTATAATACGTCATGTAATATACATGGTTTTCTACGTGTATATTACAACGTAAAATACGTCCCTAGTTTTTTACGCAAACGCAAAGTACATTACGCCTTTCTCTTTTTAAATAGAAAATAACAAATCCAATTAGAAANTCAAGGCGAATTTTAATAGATATGTGGTTTTCTGTGCGAGCGCGAAGTATATTACGCCCTTCTATTTCTAAATAGAAAATAACAAATCCAATTAGAAATTTTATATTAAATAGGGTTAAATGGAAAGAATTTGAACACAAACGCCAGATTAATTATTTCTTAACAATTTTTACGTGTTATATGTGCGTTAAAAGCGTTAACCTCGCGTATACATATATCGTGCATCTCTGGAATCTGCCATATTGAAAACGCAAAATTCTAAACAATTTTAAATATAAGCGCCAAATTAATTCATTGATCATTAAAATATTTCCGTGTCTACATGTGTACTAAAAGCCGTTTATAACTCGGCAGAAGCCGTATATCGCCCATCTGCGGCGTTCTTCATATTGGAAACGCAATTTACTGGTTTTCTACGATTTTCTCCAATAAACTACTTTATTATGTAATATACGTCAAAAACCTCAAAAAATGAGGAATTATCCAAATCTGCCTATTTCTCAACGTAAGAGACACGTTTAATTAGCTTACACCAGAGATTAATGCTTACGCTCGGTTTAAACCTGCTGTGAAGCAATAAAACTCCGATTAACTGGTTTACACCTGGTTCAATTTGTTGTAAACCAGTTCAACTTTGGTTAATTTGAGTTTGGAATCGGGCTTTAGTTTAATCCGGTATTTATTCAATACTGGATTTGATAAATCGGACTTTGGTTATATCTTCATCAACTGGTTTTATTTAATACCAAACTAACTACGTCGTAGAGACCTAAACTGGATTTATTCGATTCGGTATTGAATACACATGTATGTGCATACATACATACATACAGACGGTGGAAACTCACCCAAATGTTTGAACTGCGCCTCAAGTTTGACGTCGTGCCGGTTCCAGCCGGTTCGCAGTTTGTCGCAGTTTGACGCAGTTTGTCGTATGCAACGGTATCCATTTTAAACCTAATAAAGTAGATAAAAAATCTACACAGCAAGTTAATAGATAGAAGCGTTAACACTAAAGGTGTTTTTACGAATTTCCTATTAGTTTCTTGAGTCTCTCAGTTCTGCCAATGAAGTAAATATCGCAGGTTGACTGAAACGTTTCTCCGACAACCATTACGCGTTGGGCCATGGGCGGTGCCGCATCACTAATATGTAAGTTCTCCGAATTTTACTTCAGTAATTCTTAATATGCAACATGTGAAACGTTATTAATTAATCTTATAAAAAATATTTTTACTTCTAAGCAGTATTCATTAATACGTTTGCTCCCGCAAGCGAGATAATTCACAGATGACTTTCAGTAAGCGCGTAGTTATCCGCTATTACGTTCACTTATTTTTTATAATCTATGAAGTTAACTTATTCAGAGCTATAATACAAATGGGTTAATATATTAAATGAATACAGTCGTTGACTCATGGACAACTACGAGTTAATTCACATTATTGTGGGAGTACGAATTTTCTATAAAACAAAGATTCTGTAGACAGATTTAAAAGGATTAGGCAATCGGTAAAAATATGATATGTAATGTAACATATTCGCGACAAATGTCTTAAAATAAAGCTGTCTCCAGTAGCCTAAAAAGTTTCACAGCTATAATGTGGTCTCCAGTGAGTCACCGCTCTCGAATGCATTAACCATAAATGGTATAGTACAATTGGTGGTATAGTATAATTGTCAAATTAGGTAAGTATATTTTGCATTTACAAGCAGGAAAATTCATTGATGTATTTTCATATAGTTAGAAAACAAGTAAGGCGTATCAACAGCCAATATTCTTTATTAAAAAATATCTTACAATTTACTTGCAAAAACAATGGATCCTTTATATAAATATGTTTCCATTCTGTCTTAATTACAAAATTACAAGCCTTCTTGGCAGTGAATTTTGTATTAACAGTAATTTGCCATGTTTGTGAGTGCATTAGTTTATATGTTGTGTGCCTTATGGATAACTGCAAGTCGCTACATTTGAAAGTATTCATATGTGCCGTGTACTCGGTATTTATATGTACGTAACGGTGTTTCAAAATTTTATTATTATCCTAGTTCCGCTAAAACAGAGTCTAGGTCCTCTTGTAGCGTAACGCTTTCTTCTCGTTGTTTCACTAAATCATCTTTCAGTCGGTCGACTTGAGCCTTCAGAAGATAGTTACCTTTCTTCAATGCCGCTAATCGATTTTCATGCTTCTTCGCGCGTTCCTGAAAAATAGTCAAACGCATTATGTTACGATAATAATGTTCTCAACTTTGTCTCTTAGTATCGAATACATTACCTGCAAATATTGTTTACGTTTCTCTGGGGGTTCATTTTCATTATCAGTGTCAGACTCCTCTTCTTCCGACTCTTCGGATTCAGACTCTTCTTCCGATTCGGTCTCTTCGTCTTCCTCTTCCTCCTCTTCTTCTTCTTGTTCCTCGTCGTCATCTGTATCCGCCATTAATTTAGCCATCTTATCAACTTCTTTTTGAAGGCGTTTAAATTTCTTATTCTCTTCTTGTAACAACTTCTGTTGTTGTTTTATTTGTTCCTTGAGGGCTATTCTTTCTTTTCGCGCGTTAGCCGCTTTATCTCTATTTAAGCATATAAATAATAAACAATTAAATATAGTTATTGTGTTTAAACAGAAAAGAAATGATTCCGTATACTTTCACGTTCGATAATTTCGTATTAACATAATTTCAAACGAACACGAGGCTCAGATGGGATGCAACATGGTAGACCGTCACCGCTTCAGAGGTGAACAAAAAAAAGCAATAAAAATTATTTCCAAAGTTGAACCGTTCCGTTCGCTCATTGCAGAAATCAGTCTTCACGGTTTCTTAAATACTTACTCAAAAGTTTTGATTTTCGAACTCAGCAGTTTCAATTCTCTTTGCAGTCGCTTTTCTGCAGCGATCTTGGGATCCTCCTCTTCTTCCTCTTCCGTGCTCTCCTCTTCTTCTTCTTCTTCAGTTTCAATTTCGACGGGTTTTTCTACGCTTTTTTGCGAAGCGATTCTAGCCACGTCCTTTGCACTGGGACATCCGGCCAAAGCCATTCCTGAAACATCGTACCACGCCACATCTATGCTATCTACTGCTAAATCTACAAGGGGCTCTACTTCTATAAACGAATTCAGCACTGCACACAAGGACACGTGAAACAGAAAATTACAATTAGTAATTGAAGCATTGAAGCGTTCTGGTACTTTGATTAGCTCTGAAAAGTGAATTGAATATTTTACTTATGAATACGAAGGGTGCTCTTAGACAAAAGTGCTAGAGGGCGAAGATCTTTTAATTTCGGAAAGCAGATTATCCAGTTTAGGGACTTTGGCAATAAATAGCTAAATTTGGATTGTGTGCTATTCGATTATGCTTCTTGGAAAGCAAATAAAGTTTCAATATAATTTCTTTTGAGCTTGTATTCGCTATTAATTAAACTGTCGCACCGTTCTTAAACACTTGTAAAAAAAATAATACCCGTACCGGCTCTTCACGGATCTAGCTAGGTATCGGGTGGTAGCATGACGTCGGTATCAGACTTTCTACACGGTTGAGCAGCTAAATCATTCAGTTTGATAGATAATAATATATCTGAAAAGGCTGATATACTATCAATACTAACCGGCCTTCATGCGCCTCTCTAGAGCAGCATACATTCTCTTCATTTCCTCCAGCTCGTTCTTTGCCCTATCCCTCTCGTCCGCAGCAGAAGCATAGTCTGTTTCGAGTCTCTCGGCATCCCTCCTAGCCTGCTCAGCTTCGGCTCTTAAGGACTGGGCAACCTTTACATCCTGTTTCTTAACTTCCTGTACATTTTTCTGAGACCTTTCGCGCTCTAACTCAACTTCCAGATTGAGAATCCTGGCCTGCGACGAAAAGAGGAAAAAATAAGCGTTTTTCGTATTCAAATAAGCAATCTGACAAGCAAATGACCCCTCTACAAAAAATAGATACTACAGGGTTCATTTATAACATCAACGAGTGGTTCGGGAGATTATTTATACCACACTTTTCCATATTGACATAGATTTTTTAACAAGTTCAAGTGAGCTTCCGATATTTATGCAGAATTCGGAAGGCGTATATTGATAAAAAAAAAGCCACTCACCTGTAACCTTTTATTATCGCGTTCCAGAGCTTCCTTATTTCGTAATTCCAGAGCCAGCATTTGTTTTGTGCTTTGCAGGTCATCACGCACCGCATCTATGTCGTCCATTTCATCTGGTATTTCTTCATCTACCGGTTGCTCTTCAGCTTTCTGTAGCTGCTCCTCTATTGTTAATTGTCTTCTGAATTTCCTCAATCCTTCCAGCATCGGCTTTGATCTATCATTGGTTTTCACGCTCTTTAGTTTCACCCCTTCCTGGATTTGCTTCAGTAATTGGTTGTGCATGTTTGACTTTTCTGATTCGAAGACAAAATGAGTTTTTCCTGGTAGAAAGAAAAAACATTAATCTAATAGATTGTAGGAATAAAATACAACCGTTGATATTTGATTTTCTAAGAAGACGTATTCATGGGTCCCTCACCTGCTGCATCCGCTGCAACTTTGTTCACTCTCTCGATCAGGGGGGCGCTTCTATCGTTACACTTAACGTGTCTTAATACTTTTCCACTTTCGACTTCTTTCATCATACTTGCCCAGTCGGGACGTTTTCTTGGCCTTGATTTTAGCATTTCTAGGGTTTTCTCCTGAGAATTGGTTAGGGGTGGTATATCTTTCAGGACATTCCTGCTCGGAGGTGGCGGCGGAGGCCTCGGTGGTAACGGAGGTGGAATGGCTGCTCGTGAAGAGCTTTTCGAAAGGGTAGGTGCACCTGTGGGGAAAAAAGACTTTTTTAAACAAAGTTTATATCGGACCAGAGCACCGTGACCGACAAGTGCTCCATACATACATTTACTTAAATTCCATGAATTTTATTTTTCAACATTAACACCCGAAATACTGTAATAGCAATATGAATAACACGAGGAGATGGTATTGATAAGTGATGTAGACGATAAATATTGATTGACCAATTAATCAGCGGAATCCAATTTTCATCAAGAATTTTCTTTAATAAGTAACTTTTTTTAATCTGCAAAAATACCATCCGAAGGCTCGATAACATTTGAAGAAAAACAAAGCTTTTAAAAGGTTTCGGTCACACTTAATGTCATCGCTTTAAAGAAAACCAGGCCACCCCGTTCGACTTGACACCCTCCCGGTTCAAGGTATTAGAGAAGGTTTCTCGAGTTCCTTCAAATTATTTCAAGTAATCTGACCTTCTTGATGTACCCATTCCATTGGTCGTTGAAGGCAAAGGACCGGCACGAAGGTTGAAAATTCTTTTCTGCTCCTTGCGGATTACGTGAATCGAGGGATAAGGTCACTCGAAGGTTTGGCACGCGGTTTATCGGCGCGGGCAGATGTCTGACTTACCGGTGGTGCTTTCGCTCTTCGAGAGTGGTATACTCTCGCCCCTTGAGCGCGATCTCTCGACGTGAACTTGACGCTCGAGCTGAGGCCTCGACGAGGACTCGTGTCGTCCATTTTCTTTGATCTTTGCATTCGCAGGAGCCGGCGGTTGACTTCTTCGAGTTTTCTCGCTATTTGGCTGTGAAGGGATTATCGTAATCTTGCTCTGTTTTCTGGATGGTGCTTCCGAGGGCGCTGGCTCTGCTGGCTTCGGAACGCTCTATCGAACAAAATGAGGCATAACTTCATTTGTAATCTTATTTATTAAATATTTTATAATATTCGACCAGGTCGTACGTAGTTTTGTAAAATTGATTATATATATTCTTCATACAAAAAACGTCATTTGATTCAGCCTACTTACGAACAGAATGAGAAGTCGTGAACCCGTCCTTAAAGAAGTCGGAATATTTTTTTATTATGATAATCTTGAATCGCCTATTCGTTTCTTTAATATGTATGTAACGTACACAATAGGTAGATATAGAGAGAAACTAGCGGAAGACGCAGCTGGCTTCGGTAGACATGTGAAATGGACGCGAGTCTTTAAATAATCCTGACCCAAGGGCTTATATACAAGCTCCTTTCCTGTCTGCTCCTCCACTGTTTTCGGGGTACATGATATTTTTCACGTACATATATCGTTAATTGATTACCGAAGTGTCACGGTAGTCTACGATGCCAAAAAATAATCCTACCAAGATTCACCGGAAGTCATCAATTTTCTATAAAACCGATCGAAATAGCTCCTCAAAGATCTGTGTCGAAAGTAGCGTGTACCGAAAGTGAGAAAATTATCATTATCAGTTCTGAGTGTTGGAACAAAAAATTATTTCCACGCTGTAAAATAATGACCGTGTTGCCTAGGAACGAACTGCGTCGTTCTCAAGTTTCAATATAAATTCTCGCAGGATATTGTACGTTTCTAATTCGTTGTTGCATTGGCTTGCGCGTCAATCGCAATGGTCGTTTCCAGAATTGAAATCGAGTGTTGACGGAATTTCGTAATGCTCCAAAATTACTCGACGTGGGGGGAAAGGACGATCGTAGTCAAAATCGAGCGGTGATGCTCTCCGAACCCGTGCGTTCGCAAAGTGCATCGCTATCACCCGATTGCGTGTGAGTTTCCTGTGGAAGTATCACGGAATGACGATTCTCGACGGGGGCGCAATGGCAAAATGCCATATGCTCGAAAAATGATTAATTCCCCGCTGCGGTAAACGTTGGTTTCGGTAAACAACGGTTTGATATTACGATTACGAAAGCAACGTAGAATGTGCAATTTTGCCATCTACTCAAATAAAAGACTAAGGTGAGGTAATACGATTGCACCCAGTAACTGAGTTAGAGCTGAGCCTATTACAGGCCTACCACATTTAGACCTTTAGGAGCCAAATTTAAAGTCACTATTTGAACGGATGCATAGCCTCTCACCGCATTTATTTTAGGTATCTCCGGACAGTTCAATGGCATGCACCAGGAATCGTGTATCCGTGCGCAATGCACATAGAATAAATTAAAAATTTTGATATTTTCTAACCTCGTTACCGACAATTGATCCTGGTTAACGAGGGCGATGTACATCCAGGAGCCACGCATCGCTTCCCAATTTCGGTTCTATAGCGTCTTACCGTGAATGCGTTTAGAAAAAAATATAAAAAATCTGTATTTCGCTTTTTTTCGTTAGGCTCCTCCCCGGCTCGAGGAGCTATCCACGTACCTTGAGGGTAACCTGAGTGAAGGCCGGTGGCTCCTCCGTGCGCGGCTTGGACTCCCTCCTGGAGTTCAGCGTCCAGGGGGCCGTAGGCAACGGCAGCGGATTGGGGCCCTCCTTGACCCATGGCGGCCTAAACGTTGTCCTCTGGGGCGGCTGTTGCCCCCCGGCTCCCGGCATCCTGACTCCCAAGACCTTCCCCGGGTGTTCGGGGCTCGATTCCACCCGATCGGACCCGATTTCCTCCAACCGGCGTTCGGGGACCGGATGTTACGACGGCCCGGTTGCTCCCAGAGTGTTCAACCGAGATGCCCCTCTTCCGATCCCGCCTCGGGTGTCGCCAAAAAGGGTGGACCCTGCGCAGGAGTCCGGTATCTCGAGGAAGAGGACTTCCGCGGTGGCTCTCTCTTCGGGGGCGGTCCCGGGCCCAGCCTCCGGAGTTTGCGGAAGCTCCCGGAAGCCGTGGCCTCCAGGGGACTCTCTTCGGGCTTCTCGGGCCCGACTTCGCGGAACGGTCGAGGTTGCGGGTCCGGTCTTCGCTCGCGTTTTCGAGACTTTCGGAAAGATTGAGCCCCGGTTCGAACCCCGAGACCGTCGTCGCCCCGCCCGCCCTCGCTTCCTCCTTCTCCCCTGAATGTGGTATTTTCGGCACGTGACGTCACGGCGTCGTACTCCAGAATTAGATCGTCTTCTAGGACGCGTCGCTGCCGTACACCCTATCCTACGACGCATTCCTCCGAGTCTCTCTCTCTCGCTCGGTCCCGGAGTTGGCTCTTTCGCTTCCTCGCGTTGACACCGAACGCTTCGTCTCTCTTAAGTTAGTCACCTCTGTTTACTAGGCGACTTTTCGCTCGAGGACGAGGAGACCGGATCGATTTCAGGGCACCAGGGGTCGCGAGGCTTTCCGACACCTCAAGTTCGACGAGACGCGATTCACTCGGGGGTCGTGTCTCCCGAGAAGAGAGACAAGGGTATTTTGGTACTCGATTGAACTCCAAGAGAAATGCTTTCTCGGTGTCGAACTCGCAAGCATGACTCGGATTAGCGTTCCACGTATTTTCCAGAATTCTGGAAAGACTGGGCAATGGAGTACTTATTTTTTATCTCACTAGGAGGCAGTTTTAATATTCTCGTTGATTTCAGGCTAAATTTGAAATTTCGGAAAAATCGACTTAATTTCTAGGAAATGTAATATTTTAATTGTGTGGTTGCGAATAATGAAATAAACCCTGAAAATTAGAGATACACGAAAGCGTGTTCTGCTTCCGAGTTGTTGGTTTCGTATTAGTATTTATCACCTATCGAGTACACTTTGCGCTGTTATAAAAGCTGGAACGAAACATTGCGCCCACTCGTCGTCCTACATTTATGTCACGGTTGCTATTAATCCGTTGGGAAGAGTATTGTACCATGACCATTATATACCTTAAGCCAATTTACGTATTTGTGACGTGCTGCCATTTATTAAGCCGATGCAAAAATATTTTTTTCTTCGTACCACGACTAGTCAGCTGAAATAATCATAGCCAAGTGTAGAACAGGAAATGGAATAAGAAGTAAAAATGAAAAAATGCCCACAGAGAAGTTTCAAAATTGTTCGATATCGAGTGTTCGACTCCCCGTGAATTCTTTGTTGGACGAAGTCCAGTTTTTTCTACATATATGTATAAACCATTAAATGAATAAATACATTTTTAAACCTGCGAATATAGAGGACTCAAGATGCATGAACTTATCGTATCACGGTCCGTTATATACAATTTTTCATCTTTGTATATCCTTTTCAAACTGATCTTCCGAATTAATTCTATGATTAATATATCATAATGATATCAGAGTATCAATGGAGCCCAAAAGAACCGCAAATGTAGACTTAAAACGAAAGGTATATCTATAACTAAACGGTATGATTCAAAGTACAACACTCTCCCCTGATGAAAATATGGTAAGATCTAAGTATTTGATGTGTATAGATTAGTTTAACGGAGTGGTTCATTTGGTAGAATCGATCTGAAGAGAAACACGTCTGATAAGAACTACTATACTTGCCCATCTTATCCAAGCTTCCGAAGTCTTCTTCAAAAATCACGAGACAGGTCTGTTTCTTAATTATAGCCGATTGTTCACCGCTAAAAGTATTGTTTGAATGTACTTTTTTTTTTTTTTTTTTAAGGAACGTTCTAACATTTATTTTTACTTGTTCAGGCTTGGTCGTCCCCGAGAACGTCAATACCAACTCGCTGCTCAAAAGAGAAACGAAGCATCTATTAAGTACAACTACTACCGAGAAACAGCAAAGTACTTTGAGCGCCAGAGCGAAGTTGCCAGGCACTTCAGTTCTTGGAGTACGCCGAATATGAATTCGAAATTCCAGAAGAATTCCGAAAAGGAGATGGAAGCCGAGAAATTGCGGGTGCGGCAGGAGAAATTAGCGAAGATGCTGGCTCACGAGGAGGAATTGTACAAGAAACAGCTGGAACATGCCCACTCCAAAAAGAAGAATCAAGTGGACCCTTCGTTAGAGCTACTGAAGAAAAGGATAGAAGAAAAGCGAGCCGAGTTAAGTCTCTACCTTCCCAGTAAGTACAAGAGTTTTCCCGTTGCCTACATGACGAAGGATTCTCCCGCTCTTTATCGAGACGAAGAGCACATTTACCATAACTCCACTTCGCATTTAGAATCTGGTAGGAAGGGAGAAAGAGAAAAGAGGGAAATTAACGTTGAACCGAGTGGCGTTTCTTGCCCCCGAGACTCCGATGATACGAAACCGAAAAAGACTGCAGACTTTGAGGACAGCCACTACTACCAGCCGGAACCGCCCAGTCATCCCAGGGTGACATCTAGGGAGGAACACGAGATACCACCCAGAGACAGTTTTCCTGGAACAACATCGAGGTATTCAGAAAGAAGGCATTACAATTCAGGTTATAACAACGACGAGGAACCTGCCGAGGGAATACATAAATCGAAAGATATCACTCTGGCGCAAGACCCCGATGAGGCGGACTCGAAGAAAGTGTCAAACTCCGAGGAAAATCGCTATTATCAGACGCAGGACAAATCTCCTAGTTTCCAAGAATCAAAGCCCTCGAGAGAATGGGAAGTCCCTTGCAGAACGAGCGTTCCCGGGGCAACGTCAAGGTATTCCGAAAGAAAGCATTACAAGTCAGATTATAACAACGACGAGGAACCTGCGGAGGGAATACATAAATCGAAAGATATCACTCCGGCGCAAGACCCCGATGAGGTGAACGCGAAGAAAATATCAAACTCCGACGAAAACCGCTATTATCAGACGGACGGCAAATCTTGTTTCCAGGAATCAAAACCCTCGAAAGAATGGGAAGTCCCTTGCAGAACTAGCGTTCCTGGGGCAACGTCAAGGTATTCCGAAAAAAAGCATTACAAGTCAAGTTATAACAACGACGAGGAACCTACCGAGGGAATCCATAAAATGAGCGTCATCGCTTCGGCACAAGATCCCGATGAGCCAATATCCTGTAGAACTACCGAATTTGAATACAATCCTCGTCGAGAAACCGACATGCATTTTAACGAATCAGAAAATGCGGAAACGTATGAACGCCCGTGTAATACGAACGTCCTTGGGACGGCGTTGAAATATTCTGAAAAAAGACATTTCCATCCATCCGATGCCTCGAAGGGGGAAGAACTTGAAAAGGGAAGCGGCGCGATAAATGACCGTGTCTTGAACCGCGAAGAGGAAACGGTCTTTCGAAGACCTGCAACAACAAAGGATTATATCGTAACGAAAGACGCGGAGGATCGTGACGTTCCTTCCAGAGTCAATGTCCACGGTTCTTCGTCTGGGTATTCAGAGCGAAAACACTTTTACGCACCTCAGAACATACAGGGCGACGAATCGGGCATCAGGGGACACCCAGGTGCTACCGCTCAATGTCTTCACAAAAGCCTGGAAGGCACAAATGTGGGAGATGGAGATGCCTACGGTTCCGAAGGTAATACCGATTATTTTTTTTTTATATATATATATTTCTAATAATTATCCTGGTGTTCTTATATTGTTACTCGGTATAAAATAGCAATTTAATTAACTAAGGTAAAACGTCTCGAGTATCGCCATCGGCGGACTTGAGACCGGGCGAACGCAGTCACGAGATACCGGTGAACTCTTCAACTTTTGAGGACCATGAACGAGAACCCAGTGAACAATCGAAACCATCCACGCCGGAGTTATTATCCAGAGAGGAAATCGAAGATAGGGAAGATCTAATAACGGATTCTGAACGCAATTTTCCGTGGATGAGAAACGACGTCAACGAGGGAAATACGTCGCATCACAGGTCTTCTTTTTTAACGCACAACGAGTTGAAGTTTCAGATTCAGAACTTGTTGAAGCGAGAGCTTCAAGCGTGCAGTAAGCAAAACTACGACGAGGCACTTCGTTTGAGGTCCATGAGATGTCACCTGGAATTGATTCGCGAGAAGAACCTGTATGGCAATACGGATCTTCATATGGACGACGAAGCGAGAAATTCAGGACTGGAAAACATAGAAAGAAGGAAGAGACAACTGGAGTCGCGTGATAGGAATTGCAACAATTCTACAATCTACAGGTGAGATGACGTTCTACACTTGGATAGTAATACGAATGAAAGATATAACCGTTATAACTGTTTCGATATAATAATATATTGTGAAATTGATACTCATTCTTGATAAACTCACTCATTTTTGCGTTTGATTGCATGCTAGTGACGAGGCCAAGCTCTTGTGGAAGCAATGGGTTCACGAAGATGATGAATATGAATTAGCGGACGCCCGTAATCAAAGAGAGGTTCTATTGAAACAACTGGAAGAAGAATGGCACCAAATGGAATCAGTGGACAAGAAACATGCTTCTCAAGAAATGAACAATTTCTCTAGATCGACCTTACAAGACGAACATAAACTTACCGCACGTATAACGAACATATTAAATCTTCGCGATGCAAACGCATCCGAGTGAAAAAGTTTGGTATGATTAAGAATTTAAAAATCTGGATTGACATTACGAGACGACGACCGCATATATAAAGGATCCGATAAACCTTCATAACGGAAACGTACATAAGTATAACCTTAGAATACGATCACGATTTTCACCAAATTTGCTTGAGCTTTAACATCTTACAGTATATCCATTTAAAGTCAATTTTGATAACATAATTAACAGTGAATGCTTGTGAAAGCTTGTATGCCTCGTCAAATTGTTTTATACTATACTGTCAGAATCCGGATTTTCCTGTAATCCTCTGTAATGCAGGATTAATACTCGTAATAACTTTTAATAGGAAACTGAACTTGTTGACAGTCTAATCAAAATGAGTTTTGTTAAAACACGCTTCTATCGTGTTAATGATCTCTTAAGAGTTATAAACTTCATTATGGCAACTACAACGGTTTAACTTGTTAGTGATAAGTTTCTCTGGTAAATTCCTGTAAAGCTCACGTTCTACACTTTCTGATACGAAAGTGAGCTTTACTACAACATAAACTTATCCTTGACGATTAATGTACGCGTTATTCATATTAATCCCATATGCTTATACGAGTCGTTATAATGCTACCGCGGATAATGTACGCTTAAATATTGTTACAAACGGTGATAGAATCCAAAATTGTAAGACTGATTTTAATGTTTTGTTAGGTTATAACGAAAATTGATTGCCGTCCACAATCTCTGATCTGAAAGACTAGACATGCACTTGTGGGACTTTGAAGCATAACTTTTTGTTTGCGATTAGATTCTTTGTTAGATTGTTTCGTTTATACACAGAATGCAGATACACTCTACCACCAGTCCGATGTTGACAAATTTTGTCATTTGCACATTCATAATACGAAATTATTTCACATTACATTCACACGGTGTCATCTTAATAGGATTACATTGCCACGACCTTTGTACTGATTTTTATACCTACATTGTATACCACCATCTTTCAACAATTAATTATTTGTGGTAAAAAATTGTCCAGTTTCGACATTAGCATAGGTAACGTTTGATAAGTGATTAAATGAACAATAGATCATGCGATCAAGTACTGAATACATGTCGTACATAATGAATTCGTATCTCACCTATAGACTGTTGACTTCGATGTGACCAAATGAAAGTTCTAGGGGCATTTCATTATTTTGATACTTGATCCATCACTATCTGTGCTTTATTACATTTATACTGCGTAATAAAATATCAGAATCATTACATATTTAAGAGTGTTGCATTTTACTCCACATGTGTATTTTTCTATATCCTGTGTTACAAGTAAAGTTCAGTTAAGACATTTCGTGTGAGTAAAATTAAGAACGAAATATTAATTGTTAAGTACCCGTTTATTGACTACAATAATATCCAGCTTTAATGTAATATTAATGAATGCATAAATAAAATGATCCTATATATGAAAGCGGCACATTACTTGGGTATTTATCTATCTATACTTTTATACTTCCGTTTCTATATCTATGTACTAATGTATAAAAATTTTTTAAATTTTTTAGATGGTAAGCGATCAGATTCGTCCAAGTGTTCATATGTCGGTAACAACGGTTTCTTTTCCATACGTAATAGTTCTAAAGTCGTACCGAAGATGTCTCTATGTATACCAAATATTTCATTTTCGAAATAACGTTAAGGCAGCTACCCTACAATTATCATACAATTTACAGAATTGGAAAGAGAACCACTAAAAATAAATCACGCTTAGTCAAACTCAATAAAATTTTCGTTCTTACAAACCGATGTCGGTAGTTCGTCCGAGGGTCAATTTTAGATTGACGTATAGACCCGTACATAACAATTAGGCTTCTATCCTTTTGGCAGTAAATATCCGAATTACTCTTCCCAATCCAACGATCTATAATTCCAAAATAAAACTTTCCATTTTCAGATTTTGGCCAGCTTTTTCGTCATTTTCGTCACCGTGGGACGCCTCGAACTGTATTTGGCCAGTAGCTCTATCAACATCTCACTCCCTTACACCCTACACGGTTGTTCGCGCGCTTACAAGAACGAGTCGGGAAGCCACTCGTGGACGTATCAACGTCGCCTGGTCCCGCGCCTCCCCCTTGCGTTTCGAAATTTCCTCTAATTCCGAGATTTCCCATTTACAGGTCGCCCCGACGACCCGGCGAGGCTGTCCCTGACAGATCGGGGACCTCCCGCGAGGTCCGGAGACCGTTCCGCGGAAGAAAAATCGACGAGAAGCGGCAATTCCGTCGAGCCCATCTTGGGCGCCGAAATTAGCTGACTAATCCGTCAAAAAGGCATTTCCGTGGCCAGGTCGCGCGAGAAGCTTCGGGAAGCGCGGTCGCACGTGCACGAGGGAGTACATCGACTGGCGAACGCGTCCATCTCCGCGTGCGCCACTCAATGGCCCGTGGCAGCCGAGTGGGCCCGAGAAGAGGGATGCAGCCACGCCAGCTATGTTAATTAAACGCATTTCTAGCCCCCGCGCGGAGGAAATGAAAAAAATAGAGGAGCGAAGAGCGGTCGACTCGCGCTACAGTCGGTGCCCGCTAATAACACGTCCCGGACGAGGGACGGCGCACATGTGCACGCACCCCCACGTACGTCCACGCTACGCACCGCGCGAGCCGAGCTGCGAGAAAGGTACCTATCTTTAAATGGACCGTTTTTTACCCCTCTGAGATGAGTACGAAGAAAATAGTCGTTTCACCGAATTTTACGTGGATTCGATGCGCGGGTAGATACCCTGGGTACAGGCAGAGGGATGATAACCTATACCGTTGGAGATATTCACAATATTCATGCACTCTTGGTACATAATTTGAGATCATTTTCGAGACAGGTCTTCGCTTCACCTCGGCCTTCGATTTATGCGAAGGGACTCGAGACTAGGTCTCGATGCTTACCCTATTTTGCGGTTACGGTGCAGCGGATAATTGACTCGTCTCCCTCGAAGCCCTCGACAAATTCCGGCCAGGATGTTTTTCCATTTTGACAGGATCATTAACACTCGACGAGCCAATTTGCTCTCTTTCGGCCCGAAAATACGGAACGCGAGAGCTCGGGTGCCCCGCGACCCCACACGCGTCCCGTACACATAAGCGATACGAAAAGCGGCCACAAGGCGGCTAGAGTTACCGTGTTGACAGATTAAGTGGCTAATGTACCCGTTTGTGGAGTCAAGGGCTGCCGAGTTTCACGGAATCCATACACCCTCTTGTCAACGTATACGTACGTCCACCCGAGCGGGTGCCGACGCGCGGGTGCGTGCACACGTGTAAGCTACAAGGGAAGCAATTAGCACCACGGCTGACAACCACTTAATCATCGCAGAAAATTTCCTGTTTACAGCAGATCATCCGATTTCGAGGTAATTCATGAACTCGCGAACCGTTCGCGATACGCGTTAGGACCACGCGTCCTGGAAATGTACAATATACCTCCTTGTATGTACGTATGTTTCTTAATTTAACGAGGAACCCATCTCCTGCCACCTCCAAAACTTAACGTTAAACGTCTTCCTCGTAACGTTAACGACCCCGTTCAAAGGAGCAATTTCCTTCCGACATTTTTTTTTCCATTTTCCGGAATACCACCCATATCCTCGAACGCGTACATCCCTTCGGCTCTGCAAAATCTATTAGCGATCCAGCCTCCCTCCGACGCCTCGATTTCGGCATCGATCATCGGCATAAGAAAAAAAAGAAACCTAGCGTAAAGTATACAAACCCAAAGCAGTCAACCGAAAGGTTGACCGATTTTCCATGAAAATGCCGAGCACGAGCCAGTCGGTCGCGGTCGCCGTTAATCGGTTTTATCGGACGTTAATCAAATCCCCCTTCCCCTCTTCCCGACCGCGGTCATGGCAAGGGAACCGGCGGTGCCGTGACATTTTTCGAGCTGCAGCAGAAGTGGAGAAAAAAAATCGGTCATTCCTTCCTTCGAACGAAGGGTGCTCGAAGCTTCCGCCGTTTCGAGACGTTGTCGTCTCCTCCCCCTCTTTCCCAACCCTATACCCGCGGAACTCGGTACACGTGCCCCGCGTGTACCAACCATCCGTGTACGTATCCTACACCTCCCCATATCCGTAACACCCTTATGTAGATACATTTATACGTATTTATATAATCGGATGCCCGCGAATAATTTTTTACCCCAATCCACGAGCACCCGGACCCTCTTCGCCTACACGCGCGAGAGCTTAGATCCGCGTGCCCGCGTCCTCGCGCATCCCGCGGCCCGTCCGCGTCCATTCGTCCGTCCGTTCGCGCGCAATGCCCGTACATAACGTTTCTGCCCGTTATGTAGAAAAATGAGCACATAGGAGCTACCTAGCCGCGTTGGCTGTGCACGGCTGTACATGGTTGTACATGGTTGTATATCGGGGGTCGCGTATGCGTGCGCCGGCCGTGTACGTGCAGGGGCGGGCGCGCACGCGCGGGTATATATAGGTACCAAACGGTAAATGAGTGGGTAGACGTGGGCTCCGGACGCGACCTCGGCTAGCGGCGACCCAAAGCTCCGTCTACCGCGGGGCTGTACGTGCCACCGCATACGGGGTGTCCCGAGAGTCGGTCGTCTTTAACGCGAGGGAACCGTAACCCTGAAATAGGCCCTGATTCAAATTTCGCCTCTCTTGGGCCGCTTGACCGCGTTATGCGCGCACGGGTACTCGAAGGTGTCCGGCGGTTCCCCCGTTAAAATAATGCAGAAAATTCCCGCACTTTTGGTACGAAATTAAAATTACAAAGCTTTTTCACTTTATGATCGTTTACGTCAGTTTATTTCCACATTTATTTCAAATTGTTTCAAGAATATTTGAGTTTCATTTATTTTACAACCTATGTTTAAATAATATTTAACAAAGTAGGGGGAGAGGGATAAACGTATGGTGACGAAAGGTGATCATCCCTGATATCGCAGTTTGAACCATCTCCACGTACACGAGTCTCAATTGTCGCTTCAGGAAGTACGGATCATTGCTGGACCGTGAAAATGGGAAATTAGTATCGACGAGACGACTCTCGGCAAGGCATTACTCAATTCTCAGAAGAAAACGTTTTCCACCGGTAGCATATTACGATATCAATTATATTTTATTCATAATGTAGTTACTATATACTTAACCCGTCACATTTGAGTATCCTTTTTGAGCGAACGATTTGACTGGCTAAAGATGTCGAGGGCAAAAAATTACCACGCTTAACGCGATAAGAAAGTGGCCTCTGAGGAATCAATAGTTTACGAAACTTTTCTCGAAACTGGGTGCGCCGAATCGTTTCAAACTTTAACGCGTGAAAACGGAGGCTACAGAGAATTGATAGTTTTTCGAACGTTTGTCCAATTATACGTTGGCAAGAATATAACCCGAAAAGAAGTTCAGGTGCGCCAAGCCGTTTTCCGTGATCCACTTACGCAGTCCGCGGTCTCGGCCAATCGGCCACTCGTCTTCCGACTCCCTCGGACGCTCACCATTGGTCAACCTAACCTCTTCGCAGGACCGACACCCTCGCTTTTACTCCCCATTTCTCCCGTTTCTTGCTTTACTCGACCTTATGGACTCGTCGCGGCTGTTTTACATCGCACATTTCACGGCCCACGGCAATATTGCGAAAAACGAGGTAAACATGAATGAAAATACCAGCGATATTATACAATAAATCTCTACAATACCTATTGGTGGATAATAAATCAAATACAATTGATGTATAATAATTTAAATCATAAATAAGCTAATAAAAAACATATATAAGTACCAGATCACGCGTAAACGACTCAAGCTTCGATCGAAACAATTTTTTAAATCCGAACGTTACTTCGGACAAATCGTACATGCATATATCGCGTTATATGGATATCTGAAATCTAAAAAACATTTGACTCGCTATACCTTCCGATAGTGCAAAGTTCTAATCGTCTCGCGGATAACTTTTGTTCCCAGGAGCGCATTCGTCCGCGTCTTTGGCTGTATATTTCGGATTGTCTTCGTACGTCCACTTCGTTAATCTCTGTAACTTCCGAGCATAACTGCGCGTACGTTAAGGACCTCGGTGACGGCGATGCGATAAAACCATAAGATAAATGTCTTCCCCGTGCGCCGTGGGCACCTACATCGATCCGTTTACCGATACGATTATTCGAGGATTCGCGTTGCTAATATCGGGGAACTCCTCAAAAGTAACGTCCTCGTCCGCTTCTCGACTTCCAAAAACTGATACATCCATGCGCACCGTATCGTTCCTTTAATTGACTCCCTTTACGCAAGTACGAAGGAACCTGCCATTGGATTAAATTGAATGTCCGGAAGATAACTTTTCCGACGCCCGAGCTGCCCCAAAGGTAACGGGCTGAAAAACGGCGAGAAAGCATTATAAATAAACGATCGGAGCCGGGACCGAGCCGGGACCGAGCCCGGCCGAGGGTCCGCGAAAGCCACGTTGGTGGACTCGAGAGCGACCTGTGGCGTCCACCGGGCCGGAGACGCGGAGATCGATAGGCGAGCGCCTCGGCTTCGAGCCCGCGCGCGCCCGAAGTGGTCCCGCAGCCATTCCGCGGCCATGCCGGCGCGGCCGGCGCGGCCGGCGCGGCGGGCGGCCGGCGAGGAGGGAGCGGGGCCCGCCCGTTGGCTGGCGGGCGGCCAATGAGCTCGGGGCGCTCGGGGTGCGGCGCGCCGAGGCGTCGCCGTCGCGACGGCCGGCGGGCGGGACCGCGGCCCGGCGAGCCCGCAGGTGGGGCTTGCCGGTGCAGGTGCGCGCTCAGTTGACCGGCGACTCGAGGCAGGCGCGCTCGCGGACTCTCCGTCTCTCTGGTTCCGGGCCGCCCGAAGGCGACACGGTCTCCTCGCGGAGCCGAGCCGCTTCCCCTTCCGGACGGCAGTGTTTCGTGCACAGGGGAGGTGGTGCGGCGCGGCGCTCGGGAGTGACAGGTGCTCGGGGCGAATGCGAACATCGGCAGGAGCCGATCGCGGCCCGCGGACGGACTGAGATCGGCGAAGTGGGGCGGGGACCCTCGGGGGGCTCCGTCGTCTTCGTACCTACGGCTCGCGACGGGAGGTGCCAATTTCGCCGGTCGGGGTAATACGGTAAAAGTGGGTGCACTGTGGACCCTGGGACCCTTCGGCCGGTACGGGCCCGGCGAGGGAGTGGGGGTAGGGGCGGCTGGGGAAGTGGAGGGCTACGCTGGCGCCGGGGGCGGGGGTGGGGGAGGAACCCCCCGGATAAGGGTCGCGCCCCTGGCGGGCCCTTGCTGCGCTCCCCTGCCCGTCACGCAGGCTCAAAACATAGGTGAGCGGGCTCTCGTCTTAACTTTTTCCGCTTCTCGCCCCTCGTCCCTCGATCCCGGCACGGCGGAACTCTCGTCGGGAGCAGTCGTTGTCCCGACGATCGCGCTCGCCGGTTTAATCCCAACGATTCGACGGAAAAACGCGCGTTCCGCCGATCGCTGGTTTCGGGGAACGAGGCCAAAGTAGTCTTTAGTTTTCCCGTATCGAATGTCCGGATACCCTTTCAAAAATCGACTTCGCCTCGGTGCTTCTAATTTTCCCGTCAAGTGACCGACCCGGTACCGGTTGCGCGAATTACTTTCCTCCTTGCCCTCGAGGACACGGGCGGGCAAGATCCCGGAAATTATTACGAAACGAGCAAGTGATACCGTCCTACCCCGATGGTTCGCGGCCTTGCAATTTCGATTTCATTCGAGTCCTGGCGTAATTGAATTCCTTTTTAAGTGTCCGATCGTTTTGTGTTCCAATCGAGTCGATTCGTCCGTTCTCCGCCGACGGATGTCCATTGAGATGGACAGGAATGGGTTTACGTTAAAAAGAAGCGTTTTGTCCAAAAGCCCTTGAATTTGTTTGAATAATTTCCTTTCTGCCCTTTGCCCGCGAGATCGTCCTCCTTGGTATACCTTGATCGAAAGCAGTCTCGGTTTCAGGTACTTAACCGCCCATGTGTTAACCCATTAATCGAGTGGTATTTTAATACGGTAATTGATGGCATTGAGAGTCAATGATTTTAAGATGGATTGATCGAAAACGGTGTCCTTGATAAGTCGTGCGTTTGTACCTCAAAATGTTACGTTAGGTCATGGGGTATCCTTTGGAAAAATGTTTTTCCTAGCTTTTCCTCGTGTCAATGGCTTTGACAGTGGGCATTAACTTCCAAGGAATACAAAGTATAATCGATTTGTTAGATTTTGTCAGATGTTTCGATGCAGGGTTCATTCGGGGATATTTGCGTAACTTCTCAAGTTTTCCTTAAGGGCGTTTTTGTTTGGAAGTTTGCGTTCCGCTCTTTATAATTGAATATCCCGACCACCGACCGAAGTTTCCCTTCCTAGACTTGTCCAAAGAGGGAAAGTGGAAAGTTGGAAACAAGAGGAGGATCGAAAGGCGAAACATCGAGTCGAGGCTTAGAAGGAAATTACGATGTATGGGGTGGGTTAGGCTAGTAACCTCTCGTTGCTGGCATCTAAGAACCACGAGGTGTACGGGTTAATTATCGGAAAAAGTACCGATAACATTGTCAAAAATATTCCGACATTTGGATTGTCAATTTCCGCAAAGTATGAAGAATGGCATATGTTAAACCATAACTACGTTACGTGGAGTTATCACCGAATATCATTTCGATACCGGATGATCGACTCGGAACGAAGATAACGTGCTTAGAATTTACGGCGATGTCGATGCGATAATGACTCGGGGTTCATTTTAGCAAATCGGATTATCCGCCAGGCAATATTACATATTATGGCCGTAAATAATCGATGATTTCACGGACTGAAGATGGTCAATATAAATTCGTTAATGGATGCTCTACCAATAAAAAACGATATACCGAATACATAGGTTTCATTGTAGACGCGTTGACGAGTGTTGACAGTCTTTTTTTCTGATTCGGATTATGGGGTGAAGTTATCTTTAACTACCGTACTTAATACCCTAATGCTATACGTAGACACTTCGTTTGGAAACCTGAAATTAAGAACACGAACCCTCGACTGGATGGGTTCGTTATGTTTTTTTATTCTTTTTTTACCGTTTCCGGAATATACTCGGATTTCTGTCAGTATAGATTCATGTTTAAAATAAGAGGGGAGCAATTTATAAATTTGTTAGCAACGGAATATTACTTCTGAAATCGACGTTCCGTTCTATTAATTGCGTGTACACCAGAATATGCATCATATCGCATGGAAGGTGGTTCATATTTAGGCCGGGCTTTTTAATATTTACGAGTCGCATTAAAATTCCAGGTTAAGTCCGAACCACCCAGGTATGATTAGCCAGATGCGGATAGTCGGTCTCTGGGCCCGGGAGATTTGTGTGCCGGGAACTCGGACGAATTTTCAATAATTCATTCCCCCGAGCTCAGGTCACGAAGATTTTTCGGTATCCTTAGCACCTCCGGCGGACGTTCGTTCGGAATGCGTAGGTTCGAAAAAGCAAAAAGAGGACTCGTACAGTCCGCGTTTTTCTTAATTGGGGACGCTAAATCTTAAGCGCCGTGGTTTATAATGGCCGCGTTAATATACACGTCCTGCGAGGCTGCCGACTGACACGGACACACATATGCTCGGGAAGTATTTAAATGCCCTTAAGAATGAACGGCAGGACATTTTTCAAAGAACCCTCTCCGACCCCGAAGACAAACTACTCTTTCGGGTGGGCGGGAAGGGGTCCGGACCGAAAAGGCGCGAGTTTACCTTTACTTATTTGTTTACCGCATCTCCCTTTGTTGCGAAGGTCCGGCTGTGACCAATATTTGGACTGTCGTCGCTACCTGTGGCATCGAGCTTTATATCGACCTTTTTATCAAGCTATTGAGGTCGTTTTCGTTTCGCTTATTCTGCATAATCACCCGATTAGCGGCATTTTTCATTATGAGAAAAGGACATCATTTTAGGTTCAAGAATAGTTCTTTCCGTGCATTATTTTTCCTAGGGTCCAAATGTAATGTATTTAATGACTTCTTAAATGATAGGTACATACATAAACGTTACTTTTATAAATTATACATTTGTAAAGTCTCGGTTAAACCGGCAAATTAGAAATGTGTCTTGAACGAAGGATTTCGAAAGCGTCGGTCTAGTACTAATGATTTACGAAGGAGAAAACGAAGGGAGGAATGAAGAAATTGTAGTCATTGCTAGATGGATAATGAGCGCTTTACGATCAATGACCAATGCGGTCGATGTCGCTTAATGTGAATAAATAGAAAGGAGCAATTGATAACGTGACATTGCAGGGAGGTTAATTTGTGGGCTGTCAGACTTTATTGAGATCAAATTAAGACATGGATTAAACTGATTCTAAATTTGAAATTAACGCTGCTAAAAATTCTCAAGATCCAATTCTGGTGCCGTTTTGACCAAATTTTGAGATTAGGCCATACGATTATCTGACTACTCTTGTACACCTGATGTGAAAAAAAAAAGTTAAAAGGGTAAATTTGACATCAGGGAGATAAGAGTTACGCTCCGTTCCTCGCAATTACTTGTTTACGTTATCTCCCCCTTGCTAAGAGGGGCATTTGTAATTAGTGTCGTTTCCAACGGAACGTAATTTGACAATTGCTTACCATAGTGGTAGAAAGTGTGCGCGAAGCGATAACGACGTTGTACCGTGTAACGTACATGATTTCAAAAGCCATGTAAATTCACGGGTGCCAATGATAATACTAACATGTAAAATTGAAGGAAACTGTGAAATAACGTTTGTATCTTCTTTAAATGCTGAACCAATGATATTTATGGCTTGTTCAAATTACGCAACAGTTGCACCTGCCGTACATCATTCTCAATGATTCCAAGCAGGAGGTTACCGTTCCATACCGTAAATTGCGGCAAATGAAATTATGTTTGAAAGCAAACAAAAATGAAACTACATATTTAAACAATCTCAGTTACTTCTTACTCACTTACTTACTTTGATTAATGTGTCGACGTATTGGATTTATCGATTTTTTTCTACTGGTTTCAAGGAAATAAGGAAATGTTAATTAATAAATTCGAACATATTATAATCGCGGGAAGTTTCGACCGGCTTTAGATTTGGAAGTTTGCGTGAAATCTAGCGATAGGAAAGAAACCTGGCAGAACGGCTATCAGGGAAGAGGGCAGGGAGTCGGTCGAGGTTGCTTCGAAGGGAGGAAGGGCTCCGCCAATCGGAGGAAACCCACGGGAAAGAGGGACCGGGAGAGTCGCGGAGAGTCCAGCAATGGCGATTCGCTGGCAGCAGGGGAAGGCCGAGGGAAAAAGGAGGAAGAGAAGCCGGAGTCCGCGGAGGTTAATTATCGGTGGATTATAATTCATAACGAAACTGGTCCTGAAGTTGGGCCCATTTCGGGCGATACCGGGAGGCCCGTTGTCCTCGTGTATTTTATCCCCTTCTGCCTGGTCCTCGGTTCCCCTTAGAAGTTGCGCTCCGAAGGACCGAAATGTTTTTAAAAAGGAATTCTGAACGTCTGCGGCTTGGATCGGTCCAAGTTTGGCGATTAATCCAAAGGGGTTGTTCCGGGAAAAAATAGGGTGAAACGTTACCATTACGTTAAATTTAATGGCGGAAAGGTAGTGGAACGGGATCGTCGCAAAGAGCATTGGGAGGGATCAGAGATTGGTAGCTTCGAAGGCAGGAAGGACTTCGGCGATCTCGGGAAAACTACGGAAAAAGGGAATCCTGGAGAATCCGGGTGACTCAGCAATGGCAATTCGAGGCGAGAGACCGAGAGAAAATGTCGAAAATAAACGGTCCTTCTTGCTTTGGCGCTCTGGACGGTGTCTTGATTCTACATTTTTTTTTCCCGTAGTTTCGAGTCCGAGTTCTTCCGTAGTGCATCATAACACGTTGTGCAATGTACTTTCTCCGTGCAATCGTTGATGTAGCTTCGTCGATTGACTTTATCGCTTTCCGGAAATGAACACGAAGTTTGCATTTTCGGTAACGTACGAGAGAAATTACTTTCGGGAAATCCGAGCAATCTACTTTGTTTTATTTTCGCGGATGTTAACGATAGTTACGGTTGGTCAGCCACGAAGGATTGCGAGAGAGCCGTATTCGATTGATTGTTCATTTAATAATGCCGAATTCGTAATAAGTAACGATCTACGGCAACTGTACAGATTTACCTTAATCGGTATCCAATTTGCCTGTCTACCCTGGATAATAACGAATATCGACTTAATGTCTTTATTCTGGTACTAAATTTGCCGGAATTGTGTTCTGCAGTTGAAAAATTAATTGATACCTTGTTGGGTTCTGAATTAACTCATACAATTCTGTAACCGCTTAAGCGAACCTTCCGATATGGTTTGTCACGTTCACTAGTCATGATATCACGTACATACAATAAACCTATACAAAATTAAGCTTACCTCGACGTTAAAACAACTCATAATTTTGTTAAACGGGCAATTTTGAGGTACAATGCACGACTTTCGATTTTTCCCCCTCGTCGTCTCGCAGTCAATAGTTAAAATTAATTAATACGTATTCCCAATAAATATTATACTTATTATAAATATGTCAGATTGTCAATTATTTCCATCTATGCCGCACATCCTAGATAGCATTCTTTGCTGGTTTTACCCCCATTACATTGCAGTCTTTCAACTTGATCTTCTTTTTTACTGTACCTATTTGGGTTCTCCACCGTTTATCCTAGTTTAAGCTCTATCGCTGGAACAACCAAAGCCCGTAAAAATGACGGATTTGGATGGCCTATCAAGGACAAAAAATATCCGCTGGTTGTTCCAATGTTAATATTAATTTATTGAATGTGCTAACGTGTTCCTAACTGGTTTGACCAAACAGGAAGGTGCGGTCTGGCGATGCTCCTATCGTGTGCGGGATGCGAGAAGCCAATCTTTGACAAGTTTCTGCTGAATGTGTTGGACCGCGCCTGGCACTCCGAGTGCGTTCGGTGCTTCGACTGCAAGGCCCCCCTCCAGGAAAAGTGTTTCTCCCGAGAGGCGAAGCTGTTCTGTAGAAACGACTTCTTCAGGTATATTTAATATATATGTGTATATATACATATACTTTATACCTTCCTCCCGGCAACCGATAATCCACGTATCAATTTAAGGTAGCCGGCGAAACGGCCGCTCGCCAACGCCGCCGGCGACTTACTCGTTCTGACCGACTACCTCTGTGTCCGTAGCTGTCCCCAAAAAAGGGATACCTGGGGATTATTTACGCCTATTCCTGTATTTTCGTAGAAAAAAAAAAACAAAATCAAAAGTGGATAAAACGAAGACACCATCGCGGGGTGAACGAATACGAATGGATGCTGATTTGCCAGGCGGACCGAGCGTCAGACCTGTGGGAAAGTTTAGTATATTTCTTTTTCAAATGTGGACGATTGTGATAAGAAGAGGGAACTAGATAGTATTTGGACCAAATCGCTTGGCTAAAGCCAAATTAATTATCTGGAACAGCATTGCGTTAGGTTACTTCATATTCTAACTGAGGAATTTGGCACAAAGTTTAGCGATATCTTCGTCTTTGCATTCCATTCAAATTGAATTTTCATCCTTTTCGAAGTCGTGTTAGATGTTAATTTTCGCTATATCTGCAGAGAAGGCATTCATGTCCGCTACTGTACACAGGCTTTGACAGAGAAGCCCTTTTCAGTTTTCGGAGCAGAATATCCTGAGAATGGGTTAGGTGTAGGTCGTTTCGAATCAAAGGAGGCCTTCGAATTTTTGTGAGAGCGCCTTTAAACCGTGAAGAACGTTTCTCTGCTGTGTAGGTCGTGTCAGAGACGATCTCGAGGTTTTTGCGAACTTTCGCTCCAACCGTGACGGACCCTGCTACATCGAACTATGTCGAGACCTCGCCCAATAGGTGAAATGTTTATTTCGGGGAAATTATCATCGTTTTACGTGGTTATCGGTAGACTTCGTTACCTAGATTTGTAGAATCGTTTAAGAGGAAAGTCGATCCCACTTTATTTAAGCAAGGCCGCCGAAACGCTTGATTTTTATTTCAATTAATTGTCGATCAATCTCGTACGTTTATAGTTTAGCTTCGGGCTCCGTTCGATGTTGATTATGTTTTATATTTACGTCCTACAGACGATTTGATCTGATTAATTGATCGGTGGACTATTCGACACATCGATGTACCAATTTTTTGCGTGTCACCGCTTTATAATATTTATAATTAATATGCTTCTTCATAAAATGGTTTAAAAGTACACGAATTTAGGCAAGGAGAAAATTAGGTATCTGCAGTGCAGCGGACAAATCGGGCGCCATGAAATCTTCTACTTTTAAGATGTACTTGCAACGTTGCGAAACATTTGCGACATAATTACAACAGCTCGTTCGTTTTTCTTCCTACTTTGCGGATACCGCGATCTTTTGAAACGTCAGTTCGTAACAAAAAATGTAGGCAAACAGTTCAAGCTCGCGCTATCGATTATCGGGATACTCGCGAACCGTAAAATTGGCAGTACCAAGCAGTGACCGGTCCGTTTCGAAATCGACAAAGTTCCACCGACCTTCCTTTTATGTATTTCTTTTTTTTTTTTTTCGACGACGACAAAAGAAGCGGATCATCAATTCCTTCTTTTTCTCTCTGGTTTATCCACAGGTGGTCGCGAAATAAGCACTTCATACAATGGCCATACAGGTATTATCCGACATTTACAATTAGCATCGATGCGTATCATTTTCCATAATTCGCGCACGACCCAGTTTTTGACAACTGCGAAGAATCAGCGGGATGTCCATCCCGGAATCTTGAACTTCGGTACGAGGACACGTTTCAAGAAAGGAACGTTTAATGAACTACCCGTGGCCTTTATTCGACTGACGTTTTGAAATTCGTCACTTTCTTGGCAGAAATTTGCATGTCTCCGATGTCGAACGACCTCTGAAGACGGCGACTGACGACTTCGTATCTGCGCAGAGATACCAATCCAAGTTGTAGAAGCCCTTTAATGCTAACTACATCCTAACGAGCTTGTAACGAACGTTGCGTATACTTTACGAGCTATTTTGCATCCCGATGAAAAATTCATTAGATCGGCCGAGGCTTCGATTAGGGCGGGATCCCAAGAGAATAGGCTGCACGGGATCAAGAGTCAGGACGTTAATTTCGATCATTCCTTCAATTGTGGCTCTCCTCGCCAGAGATGTCGAATTATATTGTCTCGGTAAACTTTGGACCTCGTTGATTCTTCGCGGGCAACGAAGAGTTCAGGCCCTCTCCCAACATTCGAATTTTAATTTATTTGCATTAATCAGAGAAGCTTTTGTCTGGCTTAGCTTAAACTGGAAAAGTTCCTTGCAGTATACATATTCGGCTGTTTGACTGATGGTCACTCATAAACAGTTTTAGGAATATTACAAAAAAATTTGATTTCTTACATGAAAATAATTTCGTTGAAGAAGTATAGACAGCTGGGAGGTTTTCGAGGAATGGCTGATCGCGTTCGGAAGTAACCCTTTCCGATGCGGTATCCGTAATGAATATTACATGGAGGAGAATTACGCGTCAGGGATATTATACCCAGATCCCAGTGGAACAGATTATTCCAGCTGTTACCGATCGCAACCCTTTCTTAAGAGGAAAACCCGATAATGTATACACCATTATCAGCCATCGGATAAATATTCAATTATTTCGGATCAATCTAATGAGGTAGTTGTAAATTCATTTGGCACATTAAATGACGGACCTTGTGACTTTTTAACGATAAAAGGTAAATATTACCGATTCGAAGTCTGCCCTGCGGGAGGAATATACGACCCGAAAAACCTGTTAAAGCGTCATTCAACTAAACGTACCCACATTTCCCATCTAACGTGATTACTGGCACGATCTTGTTAACTTTCATTAACATTCAGGCGACGTTTCTTGATTATGGAAATAGTTATACAGTAGTTGCGCCAGCATGCTACACAAGCAAGCATAATATAAAATCGTTGAAAATATGTCTCACGATCCATATTATCTGCCAGCGGTACAACCGGTTACTGGTATAAACAACCCTGACGAGTCCCCGTAGTTTAATCTCCGTCATGGTTTTCCATGCATAAGTCATTGTTAACGGAAACTGATCCACTCGCGTATCCAATCATTGTTAAGAAATATACACGCAACCACTGCTGTTCGTTAAAAACACCCCGAATGGGTCGATATGCCACGTAACGGGAGAACGGCGTTGATTTTCTCGTGGGAATTCGCTCGATCGAGATTTGACTCTCGGCTGGTGGGCAACGCCGGACTAGCCCTTTTTCTCTGCGAAAAGAACCGCGGCTTTCTCGCGCCTCGAGAACAAACGGATCAGCCGTTAATTAGCTTTCTCGATGAAATGCAAATCGGAGCCCGGGACGGAGGACGATCGGCGACCGGGGGCTCGGGGGGCCCGGTCGGCCGTAAAGGTTCTTAAGGGCCCGTTTCGCCGAACGATGCCCCTATTTCACGAGGGCCGCCGAGGGGAGGTGACCGGGGCCCGAACGGGGAAATATTAGAAGCGCTCCCTGATGCGGCCGAAGGGGGAACTAGGGGCCCGAGGAGAGTCGGCTCTCGTTGGCTGGGCGTGACGAGCGAGCAAACGCGGCTGCCATAAGTTGCGCGGCCTTCTTTCCTGGAAGGGTCCTGGGCATCGCGCGGAGATTCATAAGGAGGTTTTTGCCGGCGAGACCTCTTGCGTCACCCGAGGTCGACCTCGCGGAAAAGTCTCCGGAAGGGTACCGATTCCAAAGGTCGTTTTCCCCAGCTTCGTCGACGAGGAGTCTTCGTCGTTCGAGGTACGGCTTGGTACGGAAAAGTTGCCCAAATCGGACCTCCTTCTATTGGGTTGGTGCACGAGTAATGGCGTTTTTTTTACACGGGAAGTTTCCGGTAAAAACGCCATTACTTGTCCATCAACCCAATACATTGGACCTCCGGAATAAAACGTAATGCGGATGACCTAGCCATCGCGTAGCCGAGAATAAAAATATTATATCTCTTGTTTCACTTATGCACTTATAGTTGATACAAATCCTCTACTAGGGACGGGCAATGCTAGGAAACAAACGCGAGAGTGAAATTGCAATTGCAAGTGTCCGTACCGCAAAAAGCAACGTCCCTGGCAAGTATATGCCGAGATACCGGCAATAGGAGGCAAGAGGTCGTTAGTTCACATCCGTGCAACGAGTGTCGTTACGAATCGGTCTTTTTTGAAGTTACGTTGCAATATTTTGACCTTTTTCCTTGAATACCGCGAACATACCCAGCGACTTTCATCTCCGCTAGATATTCAACTTTCCAAAAAAGGATGAAAATGTATTTGACGTTGAAAACAAAACATGGCCTCTGACAGATGACGCCGTATTACAAATATCAAATGACAACTAGGAATACGGAGACCGTTGCAAGAATAGCATCACTTTTTGTTCTTAAGGCGTCGCGTTTTCCCGTTACGCGTTAAATATCGTTGGACCTGTCGTAGAAAGAAAAGGTTACGGCGGTTTAAAGGAGCTAGAAAAAGGGGTTTTCTTTCTTTAGTCACACTTTGCCTTAACGACATGTGGCTAATGCAGGACAGAGAAAACCTCGTTAAACTCTCTAACCTTTTCTAGGTGTCAGCTACGAAAAGAGGTCCGACGTTCGAGAAGCCGCGAATCTCGCGATACTTTTTATGGATTCGCGCTTGTCGAGATGTGACGCGTTTCCGCGTTCTCGATATTTCATACAGGTTAGCAATACATTTAAATCGCATTTGTTTTAAATGCATTCTATTGTGGATATTCTAGATAAAGGTAAATAACCCTGAAGCACCACCCTTCGTGTTGTAGAGTAGATATTTATACCCTATTCACGCGTGATTCGTTTACACGTTATAATGGAAAAGACTGCAATTATCCGTTTCATTATTCGCCGTAGCCTCTAAATAGCAGGGAAAGTGACAGGAAATTCAGAAGGAAGTGCAATTACGTAGGATATTGATCGCGTTACTTAATCTACGTACGGTATTTGTTCTCTATTTATTATATCGGTCATTATATTGTGCCATCGGGCGATGGAATGAGTATCCGCCTTGCGAGTGTTATTGACCGCGCATCAATTTAATCGCGGAAAGGGGAATTGGACGAAAATGTGAAACAACAGATGGTATTCGTATCGATATGCAGTCGCTTTTTAAGCGGTCTTATTTTAGAGCGGAAATCGGCCCTATCGAGTCGCAATCGACGCTTCGAATTAATTGACCTTGAAAATGTCGACAATTTGCATCATATTGCATTTTTCCCTTTTAAACAGCGGAAGGTAAAACAAAACAAAAAAAAAATCCAAACACCAGGTGGTACGCGGGAGGTAAATATCGAGTGGATACGCGCATCGTCACATCGATTTCTCTTGTATCTTGCACACCGATGCAGAAAGGTTCTTCATATTAGCATACGTGCCCGTGAACGCGCTTAATTATCAGAACCTTTGGTTGAATTTATTTTGAAATTTGACAGATGTTTAATGGTTACTCGAGATGAATGATTTATGTTTTACCCTCCTCTGTTAATCGCTGAAAAACAGCCGCGCTTGACCCCAGTGTCTCTAAAGTGTCCGAATTCAAAGATGGCGCTAACATCCCCCGTGCGCGCTTCTTCGTCCACTTGGGTCAAGTGTCGCAGGAAAACAGTCCCGGCGCATCTTCATCGACGTCAGTTCCGACACTTAAGCGCCACCGCGCAGCATTAAATCACCGGCACCCGTGATCGGGCGCACCTCCTCCAAGCGTCGGTTTAGATTTCACTCGGCAAATATTGATTCATCGACCAAGCAACCGAGCGGGCCGAACTTAACGGCCGGTTTAACTTTAACGCTCCTTTTCATAGCTGGCAGTAAACGCTGCCTCCCCCGCCGAGGCCTGGCTCGATTCCTTGAACGATTCGAGGTCCGTATCGGGTATCGCCGTTTCTTCGCGGTCTCTCGCCTTCGGGAATCACTACCGCGCCAGTGACGCCATCTTGCGAGCGGCGCGGTCGAAAGTGCGCACGGTACCTTCTTCGCGTTTCTTCTTTTCTGGCCTGTTTCCGAGGAGTCGGATATCACGCGTTGTTCTTCCGATTGCTCCTTGGACGTTTCTTGTATCCATACATTTTTATAATTATTCGAATCGCTTTGATCGCATATCCTAAAGTACAAGTTCCTGATAATGCAGTATTTCACGTGTCTTCGCGAAGATACTTTCACGTATCCGAAGGTTTATTAAGATAACTTTAACGATTAATTCTGTCAGTAACCGAAGAACAATCCAGTACGAAAGAGCCGGTGTTAATTAAGGGGAAAGTCTAAGAATGGTGTTTTTTAAAGTTATTGCTTAAATTTTTCTTTGAAACGCACTGATAAATGTAATTCTTTCGGCTTTGAACCGGTGCCGGCCGGATTCGCGTTGAGTTCGCGATGACTCGCTAAAGATGTCAAGCGATTCATAAGGTTCGATCCGAGTTCCTCCGATACCCTCGAGTGTTCTCCCCGTTAAACCTGTTAAGGGGAGAAAACGCGTGTACCAGGTTTGGTGTTGAATCGGTGTTGAATCGGTGTCGAAGCGTGTGCGCATACGGAGCTGGGGCAATAATGGGGAGACGAGTCGAGGTACTCTTATGCGGGACATCATAGAAACGCGGCATGGGTCCGTAGCAAATCGTCCACGGGTCTCGACTCACTTTTTACGCCTCCTTCGTACCCTCTCGGCTGGTTGTCCTATACTTCTTATTCTCCGGTGGGAATAGTGAGAAAGAGAGGCGTAAAAAAGCCCCCGGGGGAAGCGAGACAGGTCCGGAGGGGCCGAGAAGAGGGCTGATAGGAGTTCCTACACGCTGTTTACCGGAGACCTAACATTCCTTTTTCTTTTTTCTTTTTTCTTTTTTTTCCTTTTCTTTGAGATCCTCGGGCCTCGTAATTACCCACGTATCGAATCAGACGTCAAGCCTACGCTGGAAGAAAAACTCCACCTACGGTGTTTTATTTCAAAATGACAGACTTGATTAATCCTCCTGGCAACATTGACGCGGACGAAATTAAAGCGCGGGAAGGCAGGTAAGAGCAAAATTTAACGCGGGCAAAAATATAGTCGCGATGTGCGAGCGAAGATTTGAGATACACGGGAAAATCTCTAAAGGACGAAAACGCAACGTCCATCATAACGTACATCGAGTACGTCAAAACGCCACTTTCGCGTTTTTAACATTATATCGTTGTAACGTTCGCTTAAGCTTTGAAATTCCAAAATAAGTAACGACAGTAATTTTCTCAAGTAAAAGGAAACTCGAATGGCTGGTTCGTTATAGCGGTGCCCCTTATTAGCGACCCGCCACCGCGTTGACAGTTAACAGTTTTACCCGAAATGAATGTAAAAATGATTACGTTGGATTGGGTGGTAGTAACCACGCCGGGGAGCAGAAATGCCATTGATTTTAATGCCAGAATGACTTCCCGTTGCTCATTTTCCAGGCTTTCGTTTCGTACACATCGAATACTCAACCAATGGATAATCCGGCGGTCTCCAACGTTTTGTTTCTACCTGTTCATGACTAGTTACCTTTACTAAACGCTACACTTAGAGCGCATTAGGAAATCATTAAAACATCCTTCCTGCGGCTGTAGACCTCGTTTGAACGGTGGTAATTATTGTAATCGTCCCTTTAGTGGAGATCATTCGTGTACACCTCCCATTTCTTCTGTCTTCCTTTTCGTGTTTGTTTTATTTAGGATTCCGTTGCTTCTCATTAAGGTTCCCTAGCTCTCGAGATCCCTTACCCTTGTTTTTCGTTCCTTCTGCGTCTCTGTCTCTCGTCCTTGTCCAGTTCATTCGGAGTTGTCGGTCTATTTTTCTCCCTCTTCCTCGCGGAGTCCTTTCGTGAGCTAGAAACCCTTAAAGTCCTGACTAATGCAGGCCATTGGACGTAGGGCCAGCCTTCGTGCACATAAGAGCACCAGTGACGTGCAAGCTCGGCGAGGAAGTTGGCATGGGATCGACTGATTGCTATAATTAAATCGTACCTGTTATTAAACGCGAACATCGAAGGTGAACGACACAAGAATGGCTACCGTTTAACTGCGGAAGCCGTTAAAGGAAGGGTTGATGGAGATCTGACTTCGTTAAAGGATCATTCAGCTTGGATGTAGTATATCATGTTTTGCTTCCTTATGGATGCAGGTCGTAAAGTTCTTTAAATCCGGAATCATGACATTTCCTTATCGTGTATCTATTTCTTTTTTCATGTCTTTTCTTATCTTTCTACTTTCTTCATTAGCGGAATAAAATAGGACAAATTCGAGTTAGAGTATAGTACCGATTACTGACAAGTACCTTAACCGATTAAATTAATTACCAGGGATATTTTTTTCAGTAAGGTATATTTCTTGTCTGTATAACAGTAATTATTATTTAATAGAAGAAACTAACATGATGCATTTGCAGTTATTTAAATTAAACCCTAAAATCGGATGAATTATTCTACGACCACCCCCAATCTCAACGATAAAACTGCTCAAAGTCCCTATTTCGCGCGAAATACTACAAAATAATAAAAAAAAGGATTAACGTCAATTACGACTACAAAAGAGATCAATAATCGTCCTCGCCCCGGTATTTGATTATCCGATTGTCGATCCTAAAACAAAACCGGCTAGGACGGACTCTCTCTAATGCCAGAAAAAGGTAAACCAATATTTACATTCTTACATTTGCACCGTTCCTTGAAACGCCCCGCGTTCTTGTCGCAGCCTTGGAAGGACGGTTTTTGCGGGAACTCGAGATAATAAAAGCGAAGGAGAGTAAAAAGATAAGAGAGAAGTAGCGGTCGATAGGCAGCGGCAGGCTACCAGGTAATAATCAGGTTGCTCACCGGACCGGGTCTCTCTTCTGTTCGAAACGTAGGCGATACGGAACCAAGTGCGGAGGTTGTCATCAAGGCATCAACCCGTCGGACCTCGTGCGGAAGGCCCGTGACAAGGTTTTCCACCTGAACTGCTTCACCTGTATGGTTTGTCGGAAGCAGTTGAGTACCGGTGAAGAGCTTTACGTCGTGGACGACAACAAGTTCGTCTGCAAGAGCGACTACATGTCCGGGAAGCCCCTTCCACACATTCATCACACCCACGGCCATCACGGTGAGTCCCGTCACGAGTTGCACTCTTTCGCGCTTGTCCACATCCCTTTCGTATTTCGTTCGATTGGCCTCGATAAGGCCATTTGCACCGGCACCGGCGCCGGCAAAATCGGAGCGATCGTTTCGCCCAAGATCGCATTAGAATCGGCAAGCCGATCGCTGTTTCGGCATCCGGCTTGTCGAGTTTAACGTCGGCGCGCCGGACGGCCGGACGGCCGGACCGGCAACCGGACCGGACCGGAGATTGTCGGGTTACGGAGGCAAGCTCTCATTTATTTACCCTGCATCCGGGAAAAACGCCGGCGCCGGTTTTGAAGCTCCTCAAAGAATAGGATGAATTTTAACATTTTAGGGAAGTTGGGACGCTGATGAGAAGAGTCGCTGCGACATCTTAAGAATAATTAACTGTTAAGAAATATGTCTCGTTTGAACCGATGATATACTGTAAGAACATGCCTTCGGGAGAAAGAACGTGGGTTGCATACCCTGGCGTACCTAACCAGATATTACTTAACGTGACGTCGTGACCTTTAAACCGTGAGGAAAGTCAGAAAAATCATTACCTAAACTTTTCTTCTGGATAACTTTTTTTTACGTGCATAGGACGTGTTGCAAATTCATAGTTGACTCGTATACACGCGGCCTCCACCTACTTCATTCTTTAGACCTTTATTTATGGGGCAACGCTAGGTGCAACGTTTGGAACTAAAGCAGCCCCACAATCCGACGTTCACATATGTTACGTTACTTTTGTGCCTTGCCGGACACGCTTGCGTTACCTAATGTACAACACAATTTGTCATCGTAGTAGCGAGTTTAGTTCCTATTGTTATATTTTTATAGCGTCTCAATCGTCGACGTTTCTTTTTATATTTCACGACTTCTCAAAATTTATGCCAAGATTTCTATATCTCTCGTGATGCCTAAGAATTAGTAATACATTTACTGCTTAAGCCATGAACTACTTTCTACGTTAACCCAGTGGGAACAATTTACTACACGAGCAACTACACTGCACGGGGAAAAAAAGAAAGCTCTTCTAAATGTCGATGACAAATCAACATAGAATGCCCAATGTATTGCCCGCTACGTTTCGCGTCATGTAATTCGACATTATCAAGTTGAAAATCACCTTAAAATTACGGGGAATAACTCCTCCGATCGAGCCCATTCTCGAGCTTCGGATCTGCTCTGAAAAAATTCGGGCGAACGCTCAAATTCGAGGCCGAAGTTGGGGTCGTGGGTCGGGGTCAAGTTCTTTTTTCTGGGCGGCTCATGGGCGGCTCATGGGCGGCGTAGGGGGGCCCGGGGTCGAGGGTCACGGTTCAACGCGTTCAACACCAGAAACTCGACGGCGAGTCAAGGGGGTCGGTGGAGCCAGCTCCCATGGAGGGGTCAGTCAGGATGGCGACCTCGGTGGATTCCGCCGAGGGCGCAACCCGGTTAAATCCGGGGGTACCTAGCAGCACCTGGAGGTACCCAGAGGTACCTAGGGATGCCTAGGGATTTCCGATAATATCCGACAGCACCCGGCGGTACTCGACGAGATATCACTGATCTATATACTAAGTGGATAGCTGATATCTCCTCGCTCTGTTCGGAGGCCTTCGAAACTAATCGAAGGAACACCGGTGCCAATGAATACTGGATAAGTAACGTATGTACATGCGCGAAAGGAGCCGCAGGAACTAAAGTTCTTTGAGCGAACGGAAAGGTACCTCATTTGAGCAAAGCGCTGCTTCCGATGCATGCGCAAGTACCACGACATTAGTTCACGAGGCAGCAGTCGGAGGTGTTAGTCGCAAAAATCATTTCACCACGAGGTCCCACGTCAGAGGGGCAAGCTGCGAAAACACCGCAGAGTCGCGGTTGCGCACCTAGCGCAAACCGTGACCAACCGGAGGCAACCCCGGGCGCAACCGGGATTCCCAGAAGAAGAGAGAGAGAGAGAGAACCTCTGGGCGTCTCGGTTTCACGGGGTCTCCCGCGCCGGTGAAACGAAAAGAGCCCGAAGGTCGTTATGTTACGCAGCGGGTTCCCTTTTGTCGCATGCCGACACCTAACCGCAACCGCCCAACTCGTTCCCCGAGGATCCCATAAGATCTCCGAGGGGCCCAGGGCCGACGGGCCCCGGGGCCCCGGGGCCCCGGGTCGGGTATTGTTGCACCGCCGGCTATTTAACTTGCCGCTCCGAAGTCGATTTCCTGCCCTCGGCCCGTTTCTTTTTCTCGCCTCGCGGTTCCTTTTTTCCCTCTCGCTCGCTCTTTTTTCTCGTTGGCCGCTTCTCCGGGGGCGGGCCCGCGACGGGTTTCCAGGTTCTCGGGGAAACGGGGCCGTGATTGGGCCCCGCCGAGCGGTGCCACGTGTCGGCCCGACCATTAAGGATCTAAGGCGCCGCGGGCCCACTTGACTCCACGTCGAGGTGTCACTTTGGGAATTTGATATACATTCGGGGTGTGGCGAAGGGGTACGGATAGCGACTCCGATCATCGAACTCGCTTCTCCCACGGATACGACGCGGACGTCCAACGGGGTGACTCCGGGGAAAAGCGACACCGTTTTTCATTGGGACGTATTAATGAAAAGTGAATAAACGAGAAGATGAATTCCTTCGTGCAATAATTTTCGTCTCGTGGGTATAGTCGCTCCTTGACGATTGCCATTATTTCCCCCAAGAATGATAGCGCAGAAGTAATAACAGGTCCCTGGAGATGCTTCACGTAGTATCCTTGTGCTAACAGGAGAAGACCCATTGCTGGGCTCCGGCTCCGAGGACGAGGACGATGACGGCAGTAGTCACCATCATCATCACGAGGGTGTCGGTGGATCTCACTTGGGACCCCATAATCTCGGTCCCGGAGGACCCGGTGATCAAGGTGTCGGCCATGGTGGAGATTTACCCCTTGGAAGTGACCCTTGTAAGCAGGAAGACTCGGAGGATCAAGGTGAGGGCATTTTCATCTTAGGAATCGTCTCTTTCTTCTCCATTGTTAATGTTGCACGTACCGAAAAAAAGAATGCAATTTGTAAAGTTGTTCTTTCTTTCTGTAGTTGTATATCGTACCACTTGTAGAGACTGGAGCATATTTTACAACTGCAGGGCGAACGTACACCACTATTTCATCTCGGGGTACACCCTGCTCGTTTCCCCTCCCCAAAATACTTTATATTTTGGCTTTTACAACCCTTTTAAGTTACGATGGGCCATATTACCCTAAGGTACTTTAGCCATCGAAGAATCAGGAATTCTTTCGATTCTCCTTTTCTCTTCTCTTAATTTCTTAAGAAAAATCTTCCGCGCGATGCGAAAGTATCCGAAAACGTTTCGTCGATACCGGGTAGATTCGCACAGATGATTATTTAATTTTCGGGGAGAAATTTGTACCGCACGAGGCGGGTATCGTACTCTTTTATCCACGCGACAAAAGCCTCCTTTAACTTGGAGTGCGGCCCGTTCGGGGTACAAGGGTGTCTTCGAGGGGTGTCCCGTTGTGCGGCGTGACACTGTCCAAACATTTTCTTTGTCCCGTGGTTAAGACCTCCCCTGCAGCGGTATATAGATCGTGGCAGGCCCTATTGCTTTCTATACGGAGAGCCATAATAATCCAATGGGGTTGCTCTCGGGGGTTGCAGTTGTTAGCTCGATCTTCTCCGGTGCGGATGAAGATCGCAGGAAATCCTTCGCCCTTCCATACTTCCATACTTTTCTACCTGCTGCTCTGTGTCAAAGTCACCCATGTGTTTGCGGTCTGTTACGCCGCGTGGAAAGATGTCGGAAGGATCCATCAATATTCGGTTTCAATGAAAGATTCATTCCCGATACAAGTGATTCTTTCGTTGGATGCAGCGCTTTATTTTTCACCACGGTAATAAATTCAAATGCTTAACGCAATGGTACCGAAATTGCTAAATAAGTAGATTAATTTAAGGGTGCAACGATTTGTAGGAAGGAAAGTAAAAAAATTGTACACATGTATGATAATTTATCAAAAGTAAGTACTTGAAGCCGACATTCCGAAAACGATTGCTTTGTACGAGCAATCAGGAGAGTGCCTTTAAAGTAGGTCCTTCTTTTCCTATATCTCAAAAATCTTGCTTCGTTGTAAAAAGCAGACTTTTTATGACGGTGTATGTGTATAGGAGCGATTTGACCGCGATGATCAAAAGAAAAATGTATACGTGCAAAATATGTTACGATTCTTAAAACGATTCAGAAAATTGCGGGATGTGTATTCTGGAAAAAAAAAAAATGAGGGATGTTTTATAAAGAAAAATGTTGCAAACGTTATTGGAATCCTGTTTCTTTTTTCGGAGTGCATTCTCGCGAACAATTAGTCTAGTGATCCAGCTATAAGAAATCGTCCAGTATAGGTCCTCGAAGAACCTTTTTGATTAGTTGAAGGTTCTCTGGACGGCGATCCAGAGACGAGGGACAGTCAGACCGAGAACAAGAGCCCCGATGGCGGCCCCGGGGGTGGAGGTGGTGACGGGGGTGCTGGTTCTAAAAGACGAGGCCCCAGGACAACCATAAAGGCCAAGCAGTTAGAGATCCTAAAGTCGGCCTTCTCCCAGGCACCAAAGCCCACCAGACACATCAGAGAACAACTCGCCAAGGAAACGGGACTACCCATGAGGGTTATACAGGTATATCATTCGAGAAGCCCAAATAAAGTACCCATCTTAAATGGGTCATTTCCTTTTTCTTTATTAGAAAAATAAAACGCGTAATGTTATTAAGTACGAATACTGGAAATAGAAAATACATAAACGGTAATCGGATTAAATTGATGTGAATCAATCAGCGTATCAATGTTTATAAACCTACCCACGTATATCAATCTGTTTGGCGTAGGTTTGGTTCCAAAATAAGAGAAGTAAAGAGAGAAGGTTGAAACAACTGACCACGATGGGCAGGAATCCGTTCCTTGGGTGCTCCAGAAAGATGAGAGGCTTTCCCCTCAACATTAATCCCGGAGCTCTTGGGGGAGAGGATGGACCACCTCCCGGTTTCCCGTACTTTGCCCCGGACAAATTCGAGTTCAGTTATGGTGGTCCTGTATCGTTTCACCCTGAATTTTTCGGGGGTCATCCACCTCATCCTCACGGACCACCGTTCAGTGGACCCGGTAATCCTGGTAAGTCAACCCATTGCAAATTCTTTAAAGTGCATGGAATAGCCCCTGGACACCATCAGACAATTGAATCTAAGCCTCTTTAAATGTTAAAAAATTATCCATTAAAAAACTTCGGTTGAAACATTTACGAAACGTATACAGTGCTAAACTCTGTCGAATTACGTTTATCGTGAACATTTGTTAGTTATTATTTTTTTTTGACGTTATTATAACGTTAAAGAGCAAGGTCGAAAACTGGTGAAATATTAACTTCTGGAAATCTATTGGAGTTATTCTTGCGTAACGTGATGTAAATTTACACAAAGTGATGCTGCTGGAAGAAAGGCTTTCCTCCAGCGCTACGCGAAATACACGATATTGAGTCCAATATTGTCACGAAAAGAATACAATGAACCGGACGACAGCTCCGATGACATCTGACGACCGTGAAACAATCGGGTCCCATAATACTCTTTCATGTGTTCACTCGAGGCGAATGGTGCAATCTCATTTTCGATATCTCGACAATTTTCCAGTGAATTCATTGTTTGAGAAATCTGCAACTATAAATAGACGTCACAAAATAAAAATGAAATTCAAACTAAAATATATGCAAATTGCATATATTTATAATAATATTATAACATAGACATTAGGTTCTCTCCTTCACGAGGAATACGTATACTTTTAATCACTTTAGGTATTCCGGAATCGATTAATCTGGTATTAATTTCTCACCTATCGAAATTATTCAACGTTGACTAGAAAACCTGTCCCGAGTCTCCGAGAAGACCGATGTCAAGTTCCGTGTACCCGATTAATAAGCTTTTAACGTTTCGACTTCTACAGCCAATTCGGCGATACCGAATGTCGTCACCTTCCTGAATAGTGCCGCATCTCTTTGCAACAGGTTTAGATCCGGCGAGCTTGGCCGGAATGGCCGCAGCGGCAGCGGTCGCGGGAGAGTATCCACCCCCAAGTGCGGCAGGAGGCCCACCCGAGTTCCTCACGGGCCCTCCAGGTCAGGGGCCGCCGGCGACCACGGGTGGCAGTCCTGGAGAGTTCCTAGCACCTCCAGGTACGACTCGCGATTGGCTTTGATATCCAAGATACCATAATCTACGGTACCTTAGTAAACGGAAGGTAGAAATTTATCCCGAGAACCGCGAATTTCCCCTAATAAACGGTTCTAAGGAGGTAATGGGACCTATCGAAGTACCTGGCTAACCCGTGGTACATTCGGAGTCTTATATCGAGTTATCCCATAAGTCCGTAATATCTTCTTTGTATTAAAAGAAGAATGATTTAAGAAGTAAGATTTGACAATATTCACTTCTTCCCAACGTTCGGGCAGTTCCTTCGTCTCGCTTGAAAAGAATGAAATCATGACATTTTGGATATTTAAACGGCCCGAAATTTTGGAACGACCCTATGTAATTTCGATAACTTAACTCGTGCGAGATTTTCCGTAGGTTCTTGCTAACAAATTACGAATACTCCCTTAATTTGATGTCACGGTATCATGGCAGTTTTGGGGAAATAAGTGACTTAAGTACATGGAGGTAGAAGGAGACATTTCACGTAAGGAATATTCGATTATTGTTCATCTTTCGGCTTTTACTTCGCACTAAGCTGTCGCAAATGACATCGAGTGGTTACCTCCTAGGAAAAGTCGAATCAAATCCCTTCATCTCCCCATCTTTCCCCTGCAGCAAAGAACCACGGTCCGTCCCATTTGCGTCCCCCCCAGCCATCTTCTTAAGCCCTTCATTTTCTTTGATTCCAGGAGGGTACCTTCCACCCTCCCGGAAAATCCCAAAACGCCAACGGCGAGGCAGATCGTTGCATTTGCGGGAGTAAATGCAAGGGAAAATGAATGCAAAAGTGCAGCTTAGGAATCGAAAACTTTGACGATCTTTTTCTTATATCGTTGAACCAAAACGCTTGAAACCTTCCAGTCGAGATTATCGACATAATTATTTCCGGAACGCAATCTGCATACGAAACGAATCGAAATACTATTTTAAAGCATTCACGTCTTACATCTAATACACAATACATTAATGAATTAATCGTGCCTTCCATAAATGTCTGATATTTCCTAACACCGATGATAAGTATGCTTAAAAAGTCGCGAAATATTCGGGAAAAAAGAAAAACAGATCCTCGAAGGTAAATAAAATATTAGAAGTAAAACGTGGAGAAATCGAAACACCGCGAATAGGATGAGTTTCCCCATTGTACGTCTCGGTGTGTCCCCTCCAGGTGGCGGGCAGTGCAACCCCAGCGGCGGCGGCAGCACCGGCGGCCCCGGGGGCGGGGGCGGGGGCGGTGGTTTCCCAGAGTCGCACCAGATGCAGAGCGAGGGCCTGGCCTGGTAGGACGAGTTTAGGTTTCATTAATTTCGCCACGTCGATCGGACCGCTCGATTTTCGAGTCGGGCGCGAAAGAAGCCAGCCGAGAATCCACCCCCCTTCGTCGCCATCTTTAGAGGAGCTCCTCACCCCCGCCTGGCAGCCATTTCATTACCTTCCCCCCGGGCGAGAATCTGCACGGTCAGCGGCTCGTCCACCTTGTTTTTGTAAGATAGCGATCGGTTATTATTATATATTATATATATATAGATATTAATATTATTATTATTTGCTATTATTATTGTCATTATTATTATTGAACAGCTCGCAGGGCCCGTTATTATCGACATTGTCACGATCGACGCCGTCACTATCAGTTACTACTTTTGCCATTATTCTAGACAGCATCGCATTGTGTAATATTATGTTATATTATATTGCGATTATTGTGTATAAAAAGTTGAAACCCCTCGCGTGTAATATGAGCCCAAATGCGTGTCCGTAGTTTATTCGAGTCGCAAGTGGTTGGTTTGCGAAAACGGATCCCTGTAGATAATGTCACTCGATGTGCGCGGCCGTCGCGACGCGCGGTGGGCAGTGGGAGGAAAGGGAACGAGAGCGTGCGAGAACGAGTGACGAGAGAATGCGCAAGTTAGATAAACGCAGACACGTACTAATTATCATTAAATATAAATATGGATATACATACATAGCGATGTAACGAGCATCCGTTAAGGACGGCGTTCGATGTAAATACACTTAATGGCGGTGACCGTACAGGTGACTCGCGAGAGCGAGCGCGACGGAGGGTGCCAACCAGAAAGAGAGAGAAAGAGAGAGACGCGTGAACTCCGTCGCAGGACCTAATGATTATAAATATTATTATAATAAACCACCTCGTATTTCCGTAAGTGGCTGGCAGTCTTTTTGGGCCCTTTTACCTGTCCTTAATCTTTTGCCGTTCGTTTTAGCTTTGGATTCGGTGCCCAAGGTATCGCGACGATCGAACGTCGGTGTTTCTGCCGCGGAGTTTGAAGTCGATAGCGAAGGAACGATCGTCGACTTGGGAGTGGTCCGCGTGGAAATATGACAGGTATGTAAATACACGTGTCTTCGGATTCCCCGGTTTCGTTTACAGATAGAGAATTTCTAACGCAATCTATACGGATACGATCTAAGTAGGTTCCAGACAGTCTCGCGTTTATTGGGCAAACCCGATCAAGGTTGCATTCCGCGCCTGTGTCACCTATATCTATTCCCATCGCATTTCGTGCATTCCCTGGACAACCGGCGTTATTCGTTTAACGATCGCACCCGAAATCCAACCGAGAATTCGTTAGCAAAAAACTGGGGTCGGGGAAGCCCAGCGTTTCCACATTCGCCTCCACGAGAGGGAGGGTCCCGGTCCGCGTGAAGGAATCGCGCATCCCAACGTCGTTAGGAAGAGGTACGCGTTCTCGGTGACAAGGGTAGGTCTCGGTTTCGGACATCTGGTGAATTCGATTTTGATGCGTTTCTGCCCTAGGGGGCAGTTTCCCTCGGCACCCTCGGCCCGTGCCCCCCGGGGGGCACCTCGAAGCCCGCATGTGTACCCTGTTGCGAGAAGGATAACGCGTCCCGGATGCCGGGGAAAAGCGGCAGAGAAAGAGGGTCGGACGTCGAAGGAAGGCGACTCGACAGATGCGCTCCCGCCTCCGCCCTGGGACCGGCACCGCGCCGTCCCGAGGGATCCCTCTCCGGACAAACTGTCCCGAGGGTTGCGTGGAGGGGGCCCGTGGAACGGGAGCGATCGGCCGAGAAACGAGGACCCCCCGAGGATCTATGGCCCGGGAGAAGCCGAGGGATCCCGGGATTATCTCCGCGTAGGTCCTCGCGATTTCGAGGACGTCCTTTGCGTTCGCTCGATCCGACAGGCCGGGGAGCGCCGGGGGAGCGCCGGGGGAGCGCCGGGGGCAGGTTGTCGTCCTGCCCGTTTCAAAAGAGCGTGGGTGGGATTTTCAAAGCCGAGCTCCGAGGGTTTCCCGGGACCGCGGCGGGCTTCCACGGACTGCGTCAGGGCGGTCGGTCACGCCTTTGCACCTGCCCCGATGCACATCCTGAAAGGACGGCCCGTGGCTCGATTTCGGGACGACCTTTGTGACGTTGCTTAAGTCGAAAGACCTGAACTGCAACGAACGCGGTGCCTGGGGCAGTGCCTTGAAATGCTTCGCGAATCGCGGACATTTACCGAATCTTTACTAAAATATTAACCATCGAATTTTGGGTTATTTGGGTTTGTCGAAGATTGTCTTGAAAGTAGTCTATTATCACTTTAATCCGTTATATAAGCGATATTCAAGATCTGACCGTTGCCGACTCGCGGCACTCGGACGTCCCTACAAAAGCGTAATCGTGCAGCGTCGAAACGAGCTCTTTAACTAGGTAGCGCTGGAAGACGAGGCGCCGCAATTTTGCAAGGGGAATAAATCCGGAAAACACGTCAGGGACCATTTGCATTCCCTCGGTTCCCGTTTGACAGTCTATTTCTTCATTCTCTTCGCGATCGCGATTAGCCAATCGGCCGTCTCGACGCGTGAAAGGAACTCTCGGGGTATGAAAGTGCGCGTCGCCTTCCAAGAGCGATGTCGCGTTTGCGCAACCATCCCTGCTTCCTTCGTGGCCAAAGTTAACTGGTTCTCCCGAGAGACGGAAACGTCTTTTTGCAACGGCGAGATCTGGTTGCGATAGTTCGCCGGAGCAATCGCGGGGATACGAGAAAACGGCGAGCGTTCAAACGAAGGCACTTTAGATGAAACCGAGAACCGCGGGCTTGGGGCACGAGTGAGAGGTTGCGCCAAACGAGAAACGGGCTAGAGAATTCGTTTGTTCTACGAGGCACGGAGGTAACGAAATCGGACATTTCTTTGACATTCTTGGACAAACGGCGAAAAAGATGGAGAGCGAACGGAAGGGGCTGTTCCTTCTTTCTCTTGACGTTAGATAGACCGTTGCCATACTCCTACTTCATTGACTACTCCACGTAAATTCGGGCTATTACGGTGCGTCCTATACGTACATCGTTCCGCGATGAAAGTTTTATAAATATTTTGACGTTTTATGTACACGTAATGACCCTTTCGCGTCACCTTAAACTCTAGTCGCGGATCGAGCCAAACCTATGGCTGCACTACAGCCGATCGGATCCGTGCAGATCGGACCAGACCAGACGAGATCCTTCCGAAACAAACGTCTCACTTCTTATAGACGTGGCTACAGCGTTATCCGTATCAGATCTGACGGACGAAGTGTAGCCACGTCTATAAGAAGTAACACATTTGTTTCAGTCGGATCTGGCCTGGTCCAGACAAGCTTCATCCGAACGGATTTAATCGGCTAGACCAGCCATGGTCTGCCACAGCCTTCGCGCGTTGTCCAAACGGTCGTTGTTTGTCATTGGAGGAGTCCAATACCAGAATTTCTTATCGTTGGCCAACGATACACGATGTCTCCAAAATGAACCCCCATCGTCGCTTAACTTCGTTGATCTTCCGGGAGCGGAGTAGCGCCGCGACTCGAGCGTCGACGTCCAAGCGACTTGAAGCCTCGCATTTTCGATTCCTCGTCCTGCTTGGAGCAGCGTGGATAAAAAGTGGCAATCCGTCCAGCGAGGGCGGCGCCTCACCTAGAGGACGGACGGTAACTCACGCGGGGTGAATCGGAGGGCGAGCCGAGAGCGGAGAAACGCGTCACAGTCCAACGCGTTCGGAGACTCACGTGTCGGCACACGTGTCGCGGCGCAACCCCGCCGCTCTCTCTCTCTTTCTCTTTCTCTTTCTCTTTCCCTCTTATTATTCACGGAAGCCGAACAAATCACGCCCCGGTTAGCGTACACGCTCCCGACGCCGTGCGGCCGGCACTCGAATTAGACGCGACAAAAGAGCCCCAATTGACCGAAGACACTCGGGGACGCGGCACCCGTTCCGCGAGGTACTGCCAGGGAAATTTCCCATCGAGATGGCCCGGTAATCGGAGACATCCTTGCAGCGTGAAACCTCTAAAAGAGATCAGATTGCGAGCTACCGTTGTTACCGTCGCAGTCCAAGTTATCGCTCCACCGCTTCATCGACGACCCCGCGTTTTCGTCGTTTATTAATTTTCTATACTTAGAAAAAATCCACCTCGAGTCGCTTTCGGGTCTAGAATCCGGTATGTTCTCGATCGAGCGGAAGGACGGCGTCTCTTCCGTCAGAGCGAGGGTCGATCCGAGGACCGGGAACGGCAGAAGAGGGGAAAGCGGACTCTGCGAGAATGGAAGAGCTAGAAGAAGAATGCGAATGTTGAGCAAAGTTTCTGAAAGGCAGGATGAAAAAAGGGCAGCGGCGTGCGTCGCTGTCGGACCGTCCGGTTGTCTCATGCTCGGATCGTGACATCTGTGTCGTGGCGGGCCTCTCGGCGTGCACCGACGCTGCCAGAAGTGTCAAAAGAGGAGAAACCAGAAGACGCGCCGGTGGAGGCAGCGTTGACCTCCCGGCGTCCCGACGACTTAGGCTAATCCGAAATCCGGATTACCTGCCTCAGCTGCGTCCGCAACACTACCTGGGTGTATGTATATTCCTACCGGAGGTATATATAGACGGCATTGTTTCTTTGTACGAGGAATTAATCCGTCCTGTGTTGTCGTTACTTCGTGCTAGGCCATCCCATGTCATGTACATAAATGATACCTGATTACAGAAGTACGCAACGCGTGGCAGGATTATGTACTTAGGGAAGGCTTTTTATTAGCCGGGCAAGGCAACGAAATATCGATTTAAACATTATCGCGTTAATATAAAAATAACAAAAATACCCTTATTTAATTTTTTAGGTTGCTCGAACGATGCGACTATAACGTCTTGATTTGTGAGTACGTATTAATCACATTGGGTAACTCCCCGAAGAATACACATCGTTATAAGAATTAGTCAGGTTAGTCCGAATTCAACGGAATAAAGATATGAAATTCTTCTTTCGGTTCTGCAGCTTCGGACATTCAGGTTTATAAATGCATTTTTCATGATTGGACGATTAATGCGTTAATAAATATCCTTTTGGAATCCTTAAATGCCTAACGCTTAAATTCGTGAATGTATTCCGTTCTTGTTCTGCCGGAGGTACGCGGAATGTATTGTTTTGTAAATTTATGCCCATTAATGTCACGAGTTGCACGTTGGGCGCATGCGAATTGCATGTAACACCCCGTCGCAACGGAACATCTTCGGTGGGTAGTAAATACTTGGAAAGCCAAACGTATTTACGTGTCCGTACTGTACGTGTATGCGTTAACCGTGGACGACATGCTCTACGTCACAAAGGCAAATTTGCGTACATGTACATGAAACGTAAAAAGATATACCAATGCATCCAAAGCGCGTATATAGTCCTGAATACCTAAGTACCTCCTGTCTTAGTTTATACGAAAATGACAAACGCCCGACGGCTCGTAAAAATTCTTTGTTTGGTTTACGTAAGAG